AGTACGGAGCAAGACTGGACAGGAGACTGCAGTGGAGTAAGTTTGGATGCTAGAGGACAAAGTGGGACTGTACAAAAAGAGTACAGTTCAAGCCAGTACAGTTCAGGATAGTACAGTACAGTGCAGTTAGACACAGTAAAGTGCATTATAGGACAATTTGGGACAAAGCAGTACAGCACAGGACAGTACATTTCACTATAGGACAGGACAGCAGTGCTTCCCAAAGTGTCTCAAGGACAAGTCAAGGTTACCTTAAGATTTGTTCATTTTACTTTAATAAACTTTCAGCACATTACATTAACTTAATTTATGTATCTCAAAAACATGGTCTGGCTGTTACAGTCCGACCTACTATAGCACTCAGCGCGCAATTGCTAGTTGAGCAAGATTTGGGAAACCACTGAGTCCATGACAGGACACAAGCTGCCCTGATCCACAGCACATGTCAATAAAGTCTGTTTTCACCGTACCTGTCTTGTTTTTAGGATGCTGGTCATCTTTTGAATCAGAAGGACCAGTTTGTCCTCTGGAAATGAATGAAACTGCTAGAACTGGGACAGAAAGAGAGAGTTATTATGCAAGGTCAGGTAGACCATGGACCAAGGACAGATCAAATCTTCATATGAATTGCTTCTGGCTAGTGTTAGCTAAAGAAAACAGAAAAAACATTAACACATATACTCAGTTATAGTAAAGAGGTCACACTTGTTGACAGGTAGAGTTTTCTGCAACAAGTTTTCATACGTGTGAAAAAGACAACCGCTGGTGTGCAAATGTGAGCAGAGAAGTAAGACACAAGAAGGACAGGAGATCATGTAGGAGTGCATTAATCATATATGTACACACTTATTCCATCTTTTACTGTGACCTTTAACTCCAGATTTCAGTATGTGCAATGCATGAATGTTTTTTGCACTTCATGTCTACATACCATCTCATATTTACTGTGGTTTAACAAATCACTTGTTGAGAAATCAATGGGGCATACGATGGCTCTGTAAGTTGCAAATATAGAAGACCAATAACTTGGACAATACCTGCATTATATTGCAAATTTCAGAGAGAATAAATGAGGCTATGCTAATGAGAAAAGTGCCACTCAGGGTAAATAGATCTTGAGGTGACGGTAAAACTAAATAATATGAGAGTAGTTTAACAGTAGGGTTGGGTCATAGTTACAACTTTCTAAATGTACTTTTAAATTTCCTGATAATTCAAATTGGGTCTCCATTAACTTTTCACCTGTATTGCAGCATGTGTGTGCTCCATAGTACTTCCTGCATACGTCAGGTGTTCCTGAGTCCTTAAATGAACCCAAAAGTCATTCAAGGACCTTGAAGTGTAAATTAAAGACAAAATCAAGGCCTTGAAAGTGTTGGTAAATTAATGGACATCTGTTTACTTAGAGATGTTACCAGCACTTCTTGCATCTACGCGCGCAGCAGTGAAACCATGAGGCCGCTGCAGCGTCTCTTTCAACTACTGTCAAAACAATGTGAACATTTGAAAGTTTTGGATTTGGTGTGCGAGTGAGCGCGGGAGCCCTGCTCTGCTTACAAAGTTAGTGTTCCTCTTCTGCTTTTTAACAAATCAATTAACTAGTCACATTTTTATGTTAAGTTTTGTTTTTTATCACCATGGAAAACAACACATGCATACAAAAGTTTGAAATCTGAGATGAAAGCAGGTGGGCGGTTGAGCTGAACTCACCAAGGAAGCAGAGGCGACTCCACAACTTCACCATGGTGACAAATTCTCTCTCTCTCTCAAAATATGTTCTTAAAGATGGTGAATGATCATCGGCAGAGCTGTTGAGAGTCCTTTTATATTATTTATTTTGTTCCTTTTTCCACCGGCCTCTACCTCTACTCTCACTTCTTGTCTACGAGCTTTCTGCTTTGTGCTCTTTCTTCCTCTCTCTCTCCACTCTCTCTCAGTATCTCTCAACATCTCCGCCCCCCACTCTCTCTTCCTATCTCTGCTTTCTCTCATACTCTTGTCGTGTCTCTATGTCTCTCACTCATCCCACTAGCTAATCACTATTTGTCTCGCTCCCTCCTTTGCTTTATTCTCCCTCTTCCTGTCTCGCTCTTTTTGTCTTAGAATACAGCCAAAAGTATGTGGACACAGAACAGTAGTTTGGTGTGGTTCACTGGTTCACCCACAGTCATATCAGATGGGCCTCAGTTCCTTTATCATACTTTTGTAGTTTTGTCCAAGTTTGCATATGTACCCTAGCAACACTTTTACAATATCTTTACTTTTTGTTGTCTACAGGTGCTGGTCATATAATTAGAATATTATCAAAAAGTTGACTTATTTCAGTAATGACATTCAAAAAGTGAAACTTGTATAATGTATACATTCATTCCACACAGACTGATATATTTCAAGTGTTCATTCCTTTTAATTTTGATGATTATAACTGACATCTAATGAAACACCAAAATCAGTATCTCCGAAAATTTGAATATTGTGAAAAGGTTCAATATTGAAGACACCTGGTGCCACACTCTGATCAGCTAATTAACTCAAAACACCTGCAAAGGCCTTTAAATGGTCTCTCAGTCCAGTTCTGTAGGCTACACAATCATGGGGAAGACTGCTGACTTGACAGCTGTCCAAAAGACGACCATTGACACCTTGCACAAGGAGGGCAAGACACAAAAGGTCATTGCTAAAGAGGCTGGCTGTTCACAGAGCTCTGTGTCAAAGCACATTATTAGAGAGGCGAAGGGAAGGAAAAGATGTGGTATAAAAAAGTGTACAAGCAATAGGGATAACCGCACCCTGGAGAGGATTGTGAAAAAAAACCCATTAAAAAATGTGGGGGAGATTCACAGAGAGTGGACTGCAGCTGGAGTCAGAGCTTCAAGAACCATCACGCACAGACGTATGCAAGACCTGGGTTTCAGCTGTCGGCTTCCTTGTGTCAGTCCACAGGACTGGAATGCTGCTGAGTGGTCCAAAGTTATGTTCTCTGATGAAAGTAAATTTTGCATTTCCTTTGGAAATCCAGAGTCTGGAGGAAGAGAGGAGAGGCACAGAATCCATGTTTGGAACCTGCACACAGTGCCAAAGCTACCAGTACCTGCTTTAAGGACCATGGTGTCCCTGTTCTTAATTGACCAGCAAACTCGCCTGACCTTAACCCTATAGAAAATCTATGGAGTATTGTGAAGAGGAAGATGCGATACACCAGACCCAACAATGCAGAAGAGCTGAAGGCCACTATAGTTGTGTTTTGAGAGCCCAGCAACCTGGGCTCTCATAACACCTGAGCAGTGCCATAGACTGATCGACTCCATGCCACGCTGCATTGCTGCAGTAATTCAGGCAAAAGGAGCCCCAACTAAGTATTGAGTGCTGTACATGCTCATACTTTTCATGTTCATACTTCGTACTCAGTTGGCCAACATTTCTAAAAATCCTTTTTTTGTATTGGTCTTAAGTAATATTCTAAGTTTTGGAGATACTGAATTTGGGATTTTCATTAGTTGTCAGTTTGAATCATCACAATTAAATGAAATAAACATTTGAAATATGTCAGTCTGTGTGTAATGAATGAATATAATATCCAAGTTTCACTTTTTGAATGGAATTACTGAAATAAATCAACTTTTTGATGATATTCTAATTATATGACCAGCACCTGTAGTTTTTCTGCAGTCTTGATCAGCTGAGGCAAGTCTTGTGCATGGCTTATTATCTTATTATTGTCAATAATAAGATAATAAGATCAGCATCACATAAATGTCTCATCTTATCAGTTTGTAGATTTTCCTCCTAAACACAAAAATGTAGATATATATTATCATAATTTCAATTTTTTTTAAATTTAGCTGAGCTTCACAATTTTTCCACACACCCCCTGCTACCCCTTGGAGAACAAGTACCCCTGGTTGGGATTCACTGGTTGAGCCTCTTTAGTTCTCATGAGGGGAAATCTTAATGCTACACCATACAAGGGTATTTTGGACAACATTTTCTTGGTGGAGAGTTGTCTGTGGAGAGTTGTCTTCCAACATTGTGTCATCAGTTTGGGGAATTCAAACCTTTCCTGTTTCAATGTCACAACCTCCGAACACAAGATATTGTGTTCCCAGTTTGTTTCCATTTTGGTGTGGAGTGTTGGACCTGACTGATGCTCTTAAGTTTGAATGGGAGCAAATCCCTGCAGCAGATTCAAACCTCTGGTGGAAAGAAGAAGAGTGGAGGCTGTTATATCAGCACACTGTTGCCCATGATTTTCGAATGGCATGTTCAGCAATGACATATGGTTTTTATATTTTGGTGTACATTTGGCCATGTGGTGTACATTAATTTTCTCTTTTACCCACATTTCCCTGTTTGTATTGTTTTAACCTCTCTCCTCTTGCTCTTTCTTGTTTGGTTCTTTCGTTCCACCTACCATGATTTTTTCTCCTCCCCACCCCCCTTCTATTTCTCAACATCTCAACCCACCCTCTCATGCTGTCTCTCTCTCTCCCTCTCTACACTCTCTATGTCTCTCTACCCTCTAAATCTTTCTCAGTATCAGTCAGCATTCAGGAACTGAGTCATCGACCGCAGCGCTAGCTCCAGAACAACACAGGATGCTAGTTCAGTTTTTGACTTCTTTGCTCAGTAACTCATTTTAGTACCTGTTCACAACTAATTTTCACTTTGTCATGTGTGAAGGCATAACATACAGACCACTTTAATAACAACACCAAGCTTCTACAACTTTATTTTAAAAGCTCCTGAAACACAGATTTTGGCACTTAAGTTTGCAATTATGTGCTTTTTAAGATTTTACTGGATTGATCAGATGAATTTAATGCTTTTCTCTAACTTGATAAAATTATCTAAACCTCTTCGGTTTAGTGCATTCTTCCTCTTTCTATACATAGCTGGCCAATCATAAAATATGTGACTTCTACAGCAGCTCCAGTGAAGTTTGATTTTGGTTGTGTCAACAATTTTAGGGGCAGTAGTGATAAAAGTATGCATACCAAGTAAAAGCAACAATTTCACAATAACAATATTAACTTTATTTATGTAACACATTTCATACAAAGATGAAGCCAATGTGCTTAACTACGCAAGCTCAGAATCAAAATAGGTTAAAAAATTTTTTATTAAAATTAAAAAACAGAAATTAAAAGTTATCTATCATATTTTTCACATAATTCTAAGATGATAAAAACACGATTGCACAAACTTTGTGGTGTGCTGCTCGAAACTTAAATTACAGTCAAACCAGACAGCAAGATTCCTCGCAACAGACTGGACATGATCCAACACATAACCAGCAGATAGCAGAATTTGTTTTGCCATATTCTTGGACCCAAAAACTAGTATCTCTGTTTTGTTTGAGATCAGATCGAGGGAATATTTTAACAAACAGTTTTTGAAATCACAGAAGCAGTCATTAAGTGAAGTGGGGAGGGGTCATCTTAACCACCACCAATGTGTAGCACCAACCTGGGTGATGCCCAGCAGCCAACTTGCGCCAGAACACTCACCACACATCAGCTTGAGGGAGAGAAACATTGAGCCAGTTACTCTGGGGGGGATGTGGAATTTTTCCGTGACACCGGGGAACCCCCTACTCTTTGTGCCATGGGATTTTTAATGACCACAATGAGTCAGGACCTTGGTTTAACGTCTCATCCAAAGGACAACATCCTCTACAGCACAGTGTCCCCATCACTGCACTGGGGTATTGGGATCTTACTATTAGGACCAGAGGGAAGACTGCCCCCTACTGGACCACCTACATCTGTTCCAGCAGCAACTTAGTTTTCCCTGGAGGTCTGCCTTCCAGATTCTAGCTAAGCCCAAACCTGCTTAGCTTCAGTCATTCAGCGGAAGCAGGCTCATAGGACTTTGAGTTCTTAAGTTAACTACAGTGATAATATAAATGTACAGGAGTTAAAACCATAGAAATACTGAAATAAGGTTGAGAACATTTTCTATACAAGAAATAGACGAATAGAGTGACTTCATCTGCAGACAGACACAACACGATCATATCACCAAACAATCCTGTACTTTCACAGGAGGAGGTTAAAAATAAGCCTTTTCACATAATGGTTAATAAAAGTCTACATTGTGTTTACAAGTACAACAAACGTTACCACAAACATGACGTAAAATGTGTTTTAATATGCGAACATGCACAAACCCGAGAGAACAGAGACCGGAAAAAAGTAGTTGAGGTTAGCTGTGGAGGAGGAACAAGATGAGCCCCTGATGTTGCTGGTAGCTGTAGGTAGAGAGAGAACAGGTAAGTTATTAAAATACAACAACGTGAGTGTAAACCATCACATAACATTTTATTTTAAAAAAGGCACAACAGAAAGTGGTTAAACATGTTGAAGGATCAACTGAAATTGATGGAAGCTGCTGATCAAATAAATGACCTGCCTTCTCAAAATGATCAAAATTTTCATGGGAGATCTCCCAGACTGTCCACTTAATAAGTGTCCCCTCAAACCTATGCTCATGCTTTTCTACAAAAACTGTACCCCATACATTCACAAAAAAATGTGAATGATACTAAAATGTCTCTGATATCATTTCGGGGGGGAACATTCTTTTTTCTTTTTTATTGCAAGACAAAATACACATAGACATAGACAAAACATAAACATGACGATACAAAGGGAACAAGAAGAGAGAAAAGACAAAAAAAAACAAAATAAAAAACAGGTACGTGACAACATTAACAACAGCAGCAACAAAATTTATTTAATACTTAATCTTGTGTGTGTATATGTGCTTATGTATGTGTGTGTATGTACATGCGTCCTATATTGACAGGGAAAGGGGATGCCTATTGGATAGATAATAGAGAGAGGCAAAGAGGCTGGCGGGGAGCTACAAGTGAAAAAACAAAACAAAACAAAAAACCCTATGATAACAATAGCAACAGCAATAATAAGAAATAAGTAAGAGTTATTAATAATTATACAAACAAAAAGTCAAAATAGAATTGGAATAAAGCTGCAAGTGACCATTTACGCAGTACTTGGGTAAGCAGCCCCCCCTGCCCCAGGCCCTGACAGTGAGGCAAAGCAGGGGTGTCGCCCAGGACATCACCAGGTAAGGTTTGGTCTCCCAATTTAGGTTATAACGTCTGGAGGATGGCAAGTATGCAGATCACACTTTCTATTGGCTTTTTGAGGAGTTTAGCTGCAGAAGCTTTTATACACTGCGGTGCAACATCACAGACAGTTTAGTGTTTGGCAAGTTGGATTGGGAGCGGGACATATAAAATCAGTCAACACTGTCAAATCAAATAAAACCTGAAGTGCCTACATGACGAGAAGAGTGGGCTGGCCAAAGCTAAAACAGGAACATCCTCATGTCAGAAATCAGAGGAGATTGAGGGTACCTGAGGAGGAAAGAGATGGTGGGTTGTCTTCATCTGGCCATAGTTGTGAGAGGTCAAAAAGGTTGTCTGGTATGAATAGGGAGAAGTCACCACTGCCAGAGAAAAAATCTGAATGATTAGTTCCATCATAATCATCGTCTCCATTTGATAAAACGACGGCAGCACCTACAGGTAAATGACAGAAAGAGCAATTCAGGTTTGTTAAAACTACAACTAGTGAGCAAACTGGGTGACAACGTTTTCTTGGTTGCCTGATAGTTTCTAATGTTGCAGAGTTTTGTTTAGTTTTTTTAGTTTTTTAAATTCATGTCCAGATATGCAAAGCAAGAGGGGCCAATGGTTCTAGACATGTCATTCTATTTTCCCAGTTAAAATTTTTCTTTAACCTCATTTCAGAATAGATGGCACCATAGTTGCAGAATTCCTCTGAAGGTCAACCAGAAAATTAAAAGTGTATTTGTTTTATGCTATAGATCAGTTATCTCAACAGGCCAACCTTTTTTTTTTTTATCAACTCTTATTGCATTTTCACAAATGGCTAATTACTTCACGACATATGTATTCAGGAGTGCAATAGGTAAACAGGAGAATAGAAAAAAAAAGACAAAAACAAAAAAGAGAAACAGCAACAATAAAACAAGAGATGGAAAAAAGACTAATCCAAAGTGCAATTGTAGAGAAGAAAAATAAAAAGCAAGGCAGAGATAATTGTAATGAAATAAGTGTACATGGCTGATGTTTAAGCATTTCCTTTCCTACTATCTATGGAACAGCGGGCATCTGTGATTGTATTTTATTCCTAATGTGGTCAGTGAAGAAAGTCCATACTCTACAAAAAGTATCTGTGGAGCCCCGTAATGAGAATTTTATTTTCTCTAATTTAAAGAAGAATAGTAAATCTTTGATCCAATGTGCAAAGGTAGGTGAGTATGCATCTTTCCATTTAAATGAATTTAGGCGCCTGGCAAGTAGGGTAGCAAAGGCCACACAGTCAGCTTCAGTCTTAGACAATCCGAGGGATCTGGAGGAGTACCAAAGATGGCTATTAAAGGACAAGGAGCAATAGTGTTGTCGAGGCATTCCGAGATAGTATTGAAAATAAGAGACCAGAATTTGTGATGCTTAGCACAAGACCAGAACATATGGATGTGAGAAGCGGGAGACAGGAGGAGGGACCACCAGCCAAAATGACGTCGTATCTGTGTCCAGATTTTGATGGTTGACTTCACAATTTTATTTTTAGTAAAACCAGCAGAAGGAGCGGAGAGTGAGGTGTACACTAAAGCTGGCAGAGAGGAGGGTAAGCATGATAAGGATTCAAGAGTACATCATGATGGAGCTTCAGTGCGTGAGTCTATATAACCAATGCACAATGGCACGAACGTTGGATGCCCAGTAATAAGACAGACAGAAAATTGGGTGCTGCCATGCCTCCAAGACACTTTGGACATCGTAGGATGCTATTTGATATTCGGGGAGCTTTAACTTTTCAGATAAAAAAGAAGAAAATTGAGTCTAATCTGCGAAAAAAAAAATATTTTGGGATGCATTGAAACAAATAAGTGAATTTAGGAATTTAGGAGTGTTGTACAGAGTCCCAGTTACAATTATATAGCGCCCGTTGCGGTCCATTCTCATGTTTGAGGAAATAAATGGAATGGAGCGATGGATGAGGATGGCAACCCCTCGCACTTTACTATTAAATAATGAGTGGCAGGATTGTGAAACTCAGCTCCTACGTATCATAATATGGCCAGACACATCCAGATGAGTCTCCTGAAGGAAAACAATCTGTGCACCCAAACTGTTGAGATGATACAAAACCTTGTTAAGTTTTGTGAGCTTACCCAAATGTAACAGACGTACACGCTGCTCCACAAATCAGACCATTACTCAATGAAAGCAGAAGTAACAAAATTGATAGCACAATTAAAATCCTTGCCATGCATTGCCATGAACCTAATATCACACATAAAAGCTCAGGTAAAAACTAACAACACAGACCAAAAACACAACCCCCACATCAGTGAAGCCTGAGGACAAAAGCCCTCGGTGGTTGATTAGGACTAGGCCTGGCTTGTAGGATCTTGTGGGCCCTGTCGAGCAGAGGCTTCTCCTCTAAATTAAGTAGGCTACCTTCTGCAGGAGATTTGAGACAAACTCAGTCGACAATGTGCCCTCTTGGTCCTCTGGTACGCCCACCAGATGTATGCTTTCTCCTTGACCTGTTCTCCAGATCTTCACACTTATTTTGGAGGTCTTTCACATCTGACTGGAGTTTAGAGGCCGAAGCCTCCAGATCAGATACAGAGTCACTGGTAGTAGTTGCAGAAAATTCCACCTCCTTTAACCGTCAACTGTCATGTTTGTCTATTGCCCTCTGTGTGGAGGATACCGATGAAGTTAGTTCTACTCTGACACCAGCGATGTCCGTCTGTATTCCACTTACGGCCGTCTCAATCTTGGTGCAGATGCCGTTTCTCAGGGAGTCCAGGGCCTTCGCAAACACACTAGTACTCCTCTTGTCTTCCTCTCTGGAACAGCCCGGCTCCGTGTCTTCAGTTGAAGCGTTAGCACCTCCATTAGGGACCACGGCGGACCTGTTAGTCAGCGGTTTATTAGTTAGAGGCTTCATGTTTCGCTCTCGAGAGTGTGTTATCTGACGAATACCGGGCGTCAAAATCTTATATTGAAGTTAAAAAGACACTTCACGGAGCTTGCACAAAGATCGCCTTTTTCGCTCCAGTGAAACAGCGCCCCCCAACGAACTCTCTACAGCCCAATTAATGGCACACGTAACAAATAAAAAACAAAACAAAAGAAAACCTGGGAATATATGTTAAATAAATAAATGCTGATACCAATTTAAATGTAGTTAGCTCATATCTGCTAATAATATCGCCAGGCCGATAAATTGGTCCTGGATAGACTAGAGGTGTTTCCAAAAAATAATACCCTATAATTCAAAATCTTGATTGTGCGCACATGTGTGTGGGGTCGGCGGGTGGGGGCCCTACAAGACATTGTGCCTTTTTGTCCCTAAGCAAAAGGTTGTCTGGTTTACAATAAACATCTGCTGGCATGTAGGTGAGAGTTTTAACATAGACCAATCAAGAGACATCTGATGCCACATACATTTGCATTTCCTTTCTTAGCTCAGGAAGAGTTTTTGAGTGTATGCTTATTCTCTGCCATTTGTTCATCCTTCATCTACCATTTGCTGGCTGTTGTTTGCTTTGTACTTGTTCTGTACTTAAGGAGAGGAAATGCTGAGTTTGGGAGAGTAACCGTGCGTTCTCTCCATGGCCACGTTACATAAAGAAATGATTCAACACATCTATTTGACTCCGTATTCTTTGGGAAGGAATTATTTTCCCTGACAACACACACACACACACACACACACACACACAAAGAAACTTGCCTTGTAGATTCTGCTGCACCCCCAACTACCCTCGCCCCTGACACACACTGCTTGTTAGGAATGTGTTTTTTGTGTTCATGTCTTTCCTGTTTAAGTTTGTTTTTTGTTCTGTGTTTCTCTGTGTAGTCTTGTTCAGTTAGTTCCTAGTTCTGTACGTTAGTTAATATCTTTTGTGTTTACTCCTGGTCTTGTGTTCCCTGTTTTGTCTTGTGTATTCCCTTGTTCCTTTACTGGTTCTGTTTAGCTCGTACTTGTGCATTCTTGGTTATTCACCCATGTCTGCTTGTCTAAGTGTTCTCTCTGTTACCCCCTGTTGTCTCTGCCTGCCTGCCTCTCTGTTTTCCTGCTGTCTCTCTGCCTCCCTCGTTAGCCTCATGTCTGTCACCTGTGTTGCTCCCGCCCTGCTCGTTATCCCTGGTATATATATGTGGTCTTTCTGTTCAGCCCTTGTTTGGTCATTGTTGGTGTTACTCCCTGTCAGTTGTGGCTTCCGTCTCCCAGTCTCGTCAAGTATTTCTTCTATTTTCTGCTCTTGGTGTTTTGTGGATTACCTGTGTTGGATTTTGGTTTAGTTTCTCATTATGGCTTTTTATGGATTCAGCCACTCAGTATGTAAGTGTGCTCGCCTTTCATTTTTGTATAATTAAACCACTGAACTATACCTGCTCCGCTCTGTGTCCTGCGTTTGGGTCCTCCAACCTGCTCAACCCTGCCTCACCAATCCACACCCACCGTAACACTGCTTTCCACTGCATACTATGCACATCGCAATTAAACACTGTATATATCTTGCATTAAGCAGAACTGTCCTTTTATTACAATGGTTCACACTGTTGTGACAATTCCACACTGTACATACTGTTACTGTTAATACTCCTTGTCCTTACCTAAGCCTAACACTACTGTCAATTTTTATCTTAATTGTTTAATGTTATCTTGTTTTTAGCACTATGGACCATGAGAAAAGGCATTCAATTAATTTGTATACTTTGTATGATGAGACACTAAAACAAACTATTTGCCTTGAAGCCTATTGCACAGCAGTTTCATTGAGTGCTACACATCTTGGGTTCTGTATAATGTTTCAAATTATTTCCTCACAGCCTACGTCAGCTGAAGCTAACACGTGGTTCAACCGCAGAGAAGAACTACTGTATTGACTAGCATCCTGTATGACGGCAAATCAGAAACCTTTCGTTGTCTGTGGCCACGACGCAAAGTGAATTTCCTCATTCCGGCATCAGTGCAAAATCTCAAGTATGTGTTGTAAAGGAGAGAGACATGCACTTAAGCCGCATGGCATCATGAAGTTTATAAACCAGTGACAGCGAGGGTAAAGAACATTTGAATAAAGTCAGAAATGAGAAGATGTTATAGCTTCAGTTTACTTTCTTCACATTTCCATCCCTACTACATTAGTGTTCTGATTGTTCGGTAGACTCCCATTTACAGCCATAGATTACCTTAAGATGTGTTCTGCGCTGGTTATAAAATTAAAGTTAATAAGTCAAAGAGGATTGGCTGAACTGATATTGAAATTGTGGTTAGTTCATATAAAAAGAGACAAGAAAAAACAATACTGAAGGGTTAAATAGGGCACAAAATGCAGGGGGGAAAAAGTTAATGCTGAACTGCTTTCATTTCTTGACAGGAATTGGTTTTGCTTGGTATTCAGTATGAAGTGAAGCTGACTGGAGAAAAATCACAATATAACTTTTTCAAATTTACCAGATTCAACTAAAATCCACATCTTAGGGTGTGTTGCTACCACATTCTTATCAGGATGCCATTTCAAAGCAAACAAAATAAACCATGTTTCTTTCACAGACTCACCGACAATGCATATAATTAGGTAAACCTTTATCGTGGTCGTCATCATCACCTCTTCTTGTCTAAGCACCAGGCGAAAAACTCTTGCCGCTGTGTTTCTGATGCCTGTCTCTTCCGATTTGTGTCAGTGTAGGCTCAGCCTACCAAAAAATGAACAAGCTAACCACAATGTTTGTTTATACTTGTCACGTCAGCATACTTGATGTTTCAGCCAATAGGCCCTATTAAATCAGTAGCCTATATTGTTATTTTTGGCTGTACTTTACAATATAACACTAATTAAATATCACACTACTGTATTGTCCTACATACACTCCTTTTTTGTGCTTCTCTCATTAGTAGGCTACAAATAAAAATTTAAGGACGCAGCCAGTTGCATGGCAACACTACTGCTGTGTCAGAAGCATTTCCAATTTTTTTTAAAGGATATAGTTTGACATTTTAATTGACCTTATGAGTTAAAAATTAGAGAAAAAAGATGTTGTGTTTTTGGTTTTGTTTTTTTCTGTTGATCTGTTTTGAAGTCTCCGTTGGTTGCCTTGCAACTGCTCCAAACAATACATAACATGGTGATCAGTGAGCATTAGATGTGCTGGTCGGTGGATTTTGTGACCTTTAGGCATTGCCAGGCTAGCTGTTTTCCCTTATTTTCAGTCTTTGTGCTAAGATAGCTGGTTGCTGACTTAGCCTGACTTTGCTGATTTAAGGGGCTCCCTAAAAGAAAACAAGGCTGTTGTGTCATTCCCCTTGGTTGTACTGTTCAACAAATAAAGCTTTCATCATTTATATTTTTAGAATATTTTATAACATATCACATTCAAGATTTCCTTGTGTAAGACACAAGGACATTCAGTGTGACTGTTTGCACCATTTTTTTATTGCAAAAAAGTCATCGACCGGTTGCAGATATTGCTAAATTGCCACCAGGGGGTATCGCACAAACATCTGGTACTTGTACAAAAGCACTCTCTATGGTTCCCTCCATGACTACTTATTCTAGTAGGGAAGAGCCGGAACGATTGAAACACAGCGATTTTCTCGGAGCCCATACAAGTCTGATATGCCAAACTACCTCAGCACATACAGTCCACACAGTACTTAACAGAACAGGGAAAAATCAGGTGGATACGTCACACTTTCACGAGTTATATGAAAGAAGCTGTTTTCAATCACAGAAAGTAAATTCACTCAAGCGATCTTTTTTTTTTTGAATGACGAGTTGTGTTTATTGTTCCATGTGCCATGGTCATGATCACATAAAAGATTAGCTAGTACTTTAACACATCCTGAAGTTTTAAATGTCAAAGTTTTACAGTTTAGAAGCTAGTGAAGTTTAAACATCAAGAGTCACTGTTTGGACGATTGAAACAGGTGATTCATTCGTCCTGACACGCAGCCATTCTACCTTATTTAGATACGGCGGGAGGGGGGCAGAGTCCACTAGGCTGCAGGCTGGACCACCAGGATGCTCACAGCCAAATAACAGGATCTTCACAGTAGACCAGGTAAACAGGCTGCAGATGTCTGATCTAAATGTGCATTAGCTGTTAGATTTTCTAGTTAGCTAGCTAAATTGTATTTCTACTATTTTTTATTAAGAAAAAGGACATAATGAGTTTGCAATTACATATTAAGCAGGATAGTGTCAAGCTTTCTAAATAAAAACAAGAATAACTTAAACTATTTAAATGTATGTCGTTGTGTTTCTTCAGTCCCGCCCCTGTGTTTCATCCGTCCGGCACAGTAGGGACGAATGAAACAATGCGCACCTTTCCTTCAAAGTGATATTATACTGAAGTCGTTCCACATATTAACAAGATAACACCTGGTATTGATAGAACACACGTGAGTGGTTGATGGCAACAACAAATGATTTCTGTCTGTAATGTTATATTTCAAAATGATGTATATCTGAAAAGTGTTTCATTCGTCCCGGCTCTCCCCTATCTTTGTGGACACTCCTCACATGAGGGCCCTGTTTACTCAGTTGATTTAGGCTGTTATTGGAGTTACATCGGTTGCATAACTTATGTAATTTACATATAACCTTAGCTATGTTTGCTATGCTTACTATGTTAGCTTCGTAGCATTAGCTGACCAGCTAACTACGTTAAAGAGGTCATATTATGCTAATTTTCAGGTTCATCATTTTATTTAGTGGTTGTACCAGAACAGGTTTACATGGCTTCATTTTCCAAAAACACCACTTTTTTTTTATCATACTGCACATTGCTGCAGCTCTTCTTTTCACCCTGTGAGTTGAAGGCTTCGTTTTAGCTATGGAGTGATACATCTTGTTTCTACATAATCTTTGTTGGGAGTTGCACATGCGCAGTTCCTAATTAAGGACTAGCCAATCAGAAGCAGAGTGAGAAGTCGCTTCGGTTCAGCTATATGTTCCCCTTACCAGCTTGGCAAAATGGACTGGAGCAACAGTTTCAGAGTGGTGAGTTATTAATCTGTAACAAATGTATCTTTCATCAATAAAGTTTTAACTGAGCTCTGTCTCTACATCACAGTACCAACTTTGAGTCTATTGAGTGTCTGGAGTGTCTGTAACGGTTTTTGGAAGGGAGAGGAGAGGCAGCAGGTGGACGTCTTGTCACTGTGTGCTGCAGCTCAGTGTTTTTCCGCCGGTGTTTTTGAGGGCGTGTTGGACTAGCCCTTTGGAGACCATTTTGCTTGATGAAAGGGAAGCGGCTGGACTACAAATGAGCTGTTTTCAGGCAGTTCAGAGCAGTGTTTTCTATGGGAGATGGCAACTCCCTTTGGGGTGAACTTCAGTCTCAGTAAAAGAGAGGGCAAAAGCCAAAAAGCAATACCATCTATAATGTTAAAGGCAATAACATCCCCCAAAGCCCCCTACCCTTACCTTAACCTTGCATGGACAAAGTCACCTGTAGGGAAGCTAATTTGGGATACACTCATATGGGTCGTATTGGGAGCACAGTTTATATGACCTATATGGTCATTTAGATTGGAGGACTTGTTGGTTATGGAGGTAAAGTCTGGACTGCACATTTATTTTAGTTTTCATGCAGTTCAGGAGCAGTGTTTTCTGTGAGAGATGGTAACTTCCTTTGGGGTAGACTTTGAGGTTTTTACTTTGTAAACCTACCTATCATGCACAAAATATACTAAAGGAAAGGAAAAAGCCAAAAAGAATTAATAATCAGCAAGATATTTTATGACCATCTCAAAACCAGATTGTCAAAATCTTTTTAATTATTTTCACATAATTTTGGAAACAATTTATTCCTAATGGAGAAATGAGAGAAAGTTAAAAGAAGAAACATGTTCCAGCTGTGATTCACCAGCAGGTAGCAGTATCAACATTCAGCAGACAGACTCAGCAGGCCTCACAGAGAGCGGTACCACTGCAGACTTCACCTAACGTGGTCCATCCCATAAAGTCTCCATGGTAACACAGTTTTAGGAAGAGAGGCTGGAAGTGTATACACTGCATTTACATCAAATAAGCAAAAGGTGTATTTTATTCTGTTACCTGGACGCATCTTGTGTGTTCAGATTGTAGCCTACAGCATTGATCAGCCAGCTAAACTTCACATTTTACCTCCCTAGTGGATAACACTTATTTTTACTGCTAACAGCTTTACAATAATGAGAATGTGTCTAGCCCAGATTTCCGAACCCCACTGCAGGTGTCTGTCTGCCTGGTGCCTCCACTGTCCTCTTTTCTGAAAAACAAAAAATGGTTACTATATCAGTACTACTTATCAGTATACTACTATATCAGTAGGCTTACTACTTTGTGTTTCTCTTGTATTTCAAAAACATGTCCTATGACCAATTTGGTACAATTTGAGCAGATTGCTTCTCACCTTACTACATTCTACTACATATAGAAACACTGACAATGTTACACACTCTTGGCTTACGTTTTACATGTTATCTGTCAGTGACATCTTTTGTTCTGTAACGGCCATCATAACTTCCCATATGTGCCTGGAAAGGGAGCGCTAAGTGGTGGACTGAACCTTTGGTTGTAATTTGCAACCTCACCACTAGATGCTACTAAAATATTTAAACTGAACCTCAAATATTAATCCATGACTATCAATCAAAATAGGTGGCATTTAATTTTTAGTGAACTGATAAATGGAGATTAAATAATAATATTACTAATAATAATCTTTATTTATAGAGCGCATCCAAATTACACAGTGCTTAACAAAGGCAGCAAAATAAAACACACAATTCATAAAACCATCTGTTTTAAAGGAAAACTTTATAAAAACAAGAAAAACATTTTATGGATGTACAAGCATGTTCAAAGAAATGTAAAACTCTGGAAAAGACCTCAGATAAAACTATGTTTTAATAAGGGACTTGAAAGACTTCACTGACTCAGCCAACCTGATTTCCTCAGGCAGGCTCTTCCAGAGCCTCAGGGCCCTGACTGCAAATGCTCTGTCCCCTTTGGTTCTCAGCCCCACCTCTGGAACAGACAACAGACCTCTGTCCAAGCATCTCACGGTACGTGGTGGTGTGTTCAGGATGAAAAGGTCAGAGATATGACATGGAGAGACGCCATGAAGAGCTTTAAAAGTAATCAATAAAATTTTAAGTCTATTCGAAAACGCTGTGGCGGCCCAAAGAGTTCTGTGTCTTGGGTCTGAGAGCACGTGGACAGACAGACGCCAATGTTGTTCCTGCAGCTTTCACTTCGCTCTGCCTCGCTGCCCATTAGTTTCATTCTGTTCTTCTACTGACAACACACACCACATATTAATCATTGCACACATGTACCATGTGTTGGGTTGTAACAGAATGAGATGGTGGTCAGAGATATGACATGGTGAAAGGCCATGGAGAGTTTTAAAAGTAATCAATAAAATTCTAAGTCTATTCTAAAACATACTTGGAGCTGGTGTAAAGAGGCTAAAACGGGAGCGATGTGATCACGTTTCTTGGATCTGCTTCAAAGCCTGGCAGCTGAGTTCTGCACAGTCTGGAGTCAATCAATAGATTTTTGGTTCAAGCAAGTAAAAAGGCTGTTGCAGCAATCCAGGCATGATGAGATGAAGGCATGTAAAATGGTCTCAGTGTCCTTAAAAGTTTATATAGATTGTATTTTCGATATATATCTATGATAAAAACATGATTGCACAAGCTTTGTGGTTTGCGGCTCAAAAGCTCAATTACTGTCAAACCAGATACCAAGATTCCTCGCAACAGGCTTGATATGACCCAATAAGGATCGAGCAGATGGCAAAATTAGTTTTGACCTTGTGCTTAGATCCAATTGATCTCTTTTTTGTTCAGATGGAGGAAATGTTGTGACATCCAGTTTGACATTACAGAGGCAATCATTAAAGGAACTCATTATTAACATCAGATAAGCAGCAGAAAGTCACAATGTAACCACAAGTCCAAGTTCCTGTTAGGACTTCTCATCTCTGACAGTTCTTAAGCTGAGAAACTACAGCCACAATGTACAGGAGTTAAAACCATAATAATATTGTCTGAAATGAAACTGAGAATGTTTTCCATATAAGAAATACACAAATAGGGTGACATCATCTGCAAACAGACACAACATGATCATTTCACCAACCAATCCTGGACTGTTACAGAAGGCGAATAAATATAAGTCTTTTCACTTAACGGTTTATTAAAGTTTACAATGTGTTACAAGTACAGTTGCCTAAATGCCTTATGTGTTAGCCATATGTGTTACATGTACAGTAGCCAGTTTAACAAATGTTCCCACAAACATAATAAAAAATGCATTTTAATATGCGAACAGACACAAAACTAAGAGAACAGAAACCAGAAAGAGGTGGTTGAGGTTAGCTGTGGAGGAGGAGCGAGAGGAACCCCTGGCGTTGTTGGCAGCTGAGGATATAAAGGGAGAACAGGCAAGCCATTAAAATGCAACAACATGAGTCTAAAATGTCACTTACAGAACATTTTATCGTAAAAGGCCCAGTTACACCAGAAAGTTCTAAAACATACTTGGAGCTGGTGTAAAGAGGCTAAAACAGGAGCGATGTGATCACGTTTCTTGGTTCTGCTTGAAAGCCTGGCAACTGAGTTCTGCACAGTCTGGAGTCCATCAATAGATTTTTGGTTCAAGCAAGTAAAAAGGCTGTTGCAGCAATCCAGGCATGATGAGATGAAGGCATGTAAAATGGTCTCAGTGTCCTTAAAAGTTTATATAGATTGTATTTTCGACATATATCTATGATAAAAACATGATTGCGCAAGCTTTGTGGTTTGCAGCTCAAAAGCTCAATTACTGTCAAACCAGATACCAAGATTCCTCGCAACAAGCTTGATATGACCCAATAAGGATCGAGCAGATGGCTTAACGGTTTATTAAAGTTTACAATGTGTTACAAGTACAGCTTGTACATTCTGTCCTAAATTGTTTACTCCAGCCTGAGATTTTGTTCTGAAAAATATACATCATTTTATAAAACACAGATATTTAAATGGGATAAAACAACTTTGAGAATGCTAGCTTTTAACCTTGGTCGATTGATATTCCTGGTGATCTGTGTTCCCCAGTTCAATACCCTCTTTATATGGTTTTATGTTCTCCGCAATGCTTTTTCTTTAGGTCAAATGTTCAATGTATATTTCCCCGGATCAACATATTGTAATCACCCACCTTGATAGCTACTCCCTCAAGTTTGTGGACAAGACCATTTACTTGACATTAGACATTGATATCTCCACAGTGGTTGAATAGATTTTTACCTTTGAAACTGCATTTAAAAATGTCCATCTCCATCAAGTTCTTTTGCACTTCTTTTGAACTGTGAAGTTAACCCTTGCCAATCTGTGTTACAGTGTTAATATATATCAAGAGACACACATGCATAGCACCATAGGAACATAGGAATGAGTCTGTTAACTTAACCAAATGTTTTGTTAGCGAGGCAACTGTCAGTTAGCAAGGGACAGTATGTTTACACAGTTTATTCAAAAGACAAATTTGTCAGTTCTTGTTTTGTCTTGTCTTTTGTCGCTATGATAGGTTCCTCTGTTTGGAAATGTCCAGCGCCTTCCCTTAAGCTGAGCACTATCAAGACAAATTGCTTCTGCTTGATGGCACAAATGTGTGTGCCAAATGACATTTATGGTTGTCTGACTTTACCTTTGTGTACAAATCTGAATTAATTATAACTAAAGTTTATTATGTAAAGAAAGTTTCTCCTCTGCATACAAAAGTTGACTCAAGCCCTTGGCCAAATTAAGTACGTGCATACTGGATGATTCTTTTCCTAATTCTCACTTTCTATGGCTACAATGGTATGATTATGTTACTGTGATCCATATGATGATCATGATAAGATCAGACTGTTTCATTTCATTTTGACAATAGAGATTGGATTTGTCGAAACAGTAGCACACACAAAAGGTTTTAAGGGTGAGGACCAACCTATAACAATAACCTCATCTCCAGCTATCAAATAAAACCTGAAGTGCCTACATCAAGAGAAAAGTCGGCTGGCCAAAGCTCAAACACGAACATCCTTATGTCAGACTTGCAAACTGTAAGTCCACACTTTCAGGCTACATTAGGTGGAAAGTAGGCCATGATTGGGTTTAGGGTCCCACAGCAGCCTGAGGTTATCACTGTGGTAACATAAAGCAGTGGAGATAAACCAGAGGAGATTGAAGTTACCTGAGGAGGAAAGAGGGGGTTGGTTGTCTTCATCTGTGTAGTCACCACTGCCATAGAATGAATCATCTTCATCATGTGTTTCAGCTTCATAATCATCTTCCCTTGATAAAATTACTGCAATACCAACAGATGAATAAGGACAAGAGGAGCAATTAGAGTTTGTAGAAACGGTGACAACAATGTCTTGTCACAATGTGAAATTTGTGAGCAGTTCAATAGAAGAGTTTTCCCTTTTCGGAGTCTTTGTATTTATTAGTGATCATAAATGCATCCTATTTGATCTTGTTTGTGATGAGGATCCTCTGCCTGTTAAACGAGCCATATGGTTTTGTATTTTACGTCTTGTTGATTTATTTGTTTCCCCGCGACCCTGTACGCAGGATAAGCGGTTGACGATGGATGGATGGATGATTTATTTGTATATTTATTTTGTTTATTTTTTACTATAAAGCATTTTTTTGTGACCCCTCTTGTCTGTCAAAGATGCTATTTAAATAATTTTATTTACTTACTTACTTTCATTAAATACATTTTAGAGTCCTGGAGTCCTGCCTTGTTAATGGACTCTGTTAGGCATACTGATGAACACTTAACAGTGGGCACCCCCATTCTAATGTATTACTTTAATTGTTTTGATTTTGCTTTAGTAATCTGATATATAGGTTCTTGTGCAATAACAACTGTAATATTTTAGTAGGCCAATTCATAGATATAATGAGTAAGGCTCACAAAGGCACTTTGGGCAGCGTGTGGGGTCCTTCGGGTTAGTCAAGAGGGCACACACGTCAGTCAGAAGACGTAAACAGCCTGCTGTACATAGAGACAACGTTCTGCTGAAGTGCTTGTGTTACTGTATTTACAGGTGAGCAAAATTGATGAAAAGATGTAAACGTGGTTACTCAGATGCAAAATGAAGGTGTAAGACTATGAAGGACTGTCGGTAATGCAGACATGAGAGTCACTGTGTATTGTAGTTTTGTGAGTTAATTTTGACGGCATGTCGTGTTAAATAGTAGCCTACTTCACCTAGTATGCTAATGAGGAAAACAATACTTTAGCTACCCGTAGCCTGCTAAATATTGGTTGTGTGTGTAGAGCATTATAAATGTGTGTTTGTTAATGTAGACATTGTTCATAGAGTTAAGGGGGGCACACGTCAGTCAGAAGATGTAGGCTAAACAGCCTGCTGTACGTAGAGAAACGTTCTGCTGATGTGCTTGTGTTTCTGTATTTACAGAGAAAGCAAAGTAAATGATTTTATTTTAAACTTATGCATGCCTGGAAGTCCCTTTTTGTGTCCAAGTGTGCAACATACGACACATTTCTCCAACTTGTCACATACGGACACTTGGTCAAGAAGACCACTTGGCATTGCTTTTTAACAACTTCAGTACGTTTTGCTGCATCTAGGTTTCTGCGGTCAAGTTAGCAACAATATACTGTACATGCAATGTCTGGTTACACTTTCAAAGTAAAAGTACTTGTTAATGTTGTGAAACGTCACAATTTGGTTAGGTTTAGTTTAAAAACGACTTGGTTAGGTTTAGGAAAAGATCACAGTTTGATGGTGGTGACAGTTTTAACAGTAGTGACGGTGGTGACGATGGTTACCCACATTAATTGCATTTCTTATGCAACTTGTTACTTGAGTACATTCAATGTTGACTTTTGTTTCACACAACAAATGAACACCGGTCTCCTGGGTAAAAGTCCTATTTCTAGCACACTGTCCACCCGAACTACCTGCTTACCTACCGACTTTTCTGTTAAACCCCCTCCAGTGTATTTTAACATTTCTAGGATGTTTCATATTTTTCTGAGTCATTTCCTAACAATGTTGATTACTCACATAGTTGCCAAATATTTTTTTGACAAATAGCTTAATTTTGTGCTCAAAGTTGCAAAAATTGCTTAGTTGTTAAAACGAGGTGGTGACATATGACTATAGTAATTCCATAAGTCCTATGTCATTGTAAACATCGATGTTGTTGTGAGCTAGCTAATCAATTTATCATGTAATTTACTTAGAACTTACAGTAGGTATGTCTCTCTGTGTCTGATTGTTGGTTTGTCTTTCTAGTTTAGTTAGCTAAGTTAACTGACGACCGTTTTACCAATGCATCGGCGGAGGCAGCCCCCACACCGCCGCGGTAAAGTACTGTAAGCGCACCATAAAACATAATGAGAGTTATCGCGTGCAGTGCGTAACAGGCCCATCGACTGTGTGATTGAAAACAGCTGATACACGCATATTAGTTTCTATCATGGGTAAGTAATAGCTACACTGTACAGTGTAGTGATGTTAACACAGCCAGTCAGTTTTTGGTTGTCATGGTAATGTATTACATCTGACTATTAACCACACCCCCATTCTCTGTTTGAGAAAGAACGTTACCCAAAAACGGCAGTTAAAACTGGCTGGAGGGGGATTTAAATATCCTACATCTACCTTTGACTGATGACTAGAGTAATAAATATTTTACCTTTTCACTTGATGATGTTCAAAAAACATGAGGATGTTTCTTTGCATTTTTCTGCTTATTGTAAAGTTTTCTTGGTTGGACGACATTGGAAGTTTCCAATGTTGGTGACTTTTTATTGTTTTTATTCATATCAGGATCCGGGCCGCTTGTCTTACTCTGTTTTCCCAGCAATAACCTCACTGTTACATACAAACACTCAGGAATCTCCTGTATAATGGAAGAATCCCATAGGTTTTCACTGTGACCACCACCTTTAATTATTTCAACTTGATTTCTGAGAAATCATATTTTGTCCATCATTCTGGCATGGCGTATGACTCTGAATACTACAATCCAATGAGACTTAGCCGCCATTGCCATGAAGAACCCAGCCCGTAGAGGTAGAGAAACATTTTGTTGTTGCAGTTGAGAACAGAAGATGATGCCATAGTTGCAGAATTCCTCGAAACGTGAACCAGAATAAACATATATCTAAATAAATATAAATAAAATAAATATAAAATATGAACATGGCAGAATATTTACAATTTACATGTGCAATAAAATAATTGGTTTATTATAAATGAACTTGTTGCTGCAGATCAGTTTTCTCAACAGGCCAATCTTAAGCTTCTGCTCAACAAACTTAAAGAAATAGTAAGTAATTGTAATCCAATACACTTATTGCTAAATTCAGTGAATATTTCCTCACAGTTTGCTCACTCTCTGTTTTGTGTGTAAAAAATCTGGTTTCCTACACAGCCCTGGCTCTGTAATTCAAAAAAGAAAGTGGTGTGGACCTTGCCAAACAACATTGTTACAGCCAATCAGCAACAGTTAGTACTCGTGCACTGGAGTGATGGGGGAGAGGATAAAAAGGGAGAGAGAGTTCTGTACACTGGCACATTTGAACATGCTGGACTCAAGGCATTGTGACGAAGGAGAGGTGGCCAAAAAATAGCCAAAGGAAAAGACTGAAGAGTGTAAACAAAGAAGAGAGTTATATGACCTGGCAAGGTGCAATGGCATTTCAACCCTGGAGAAACCTCAAAGATTTTAAATTTGGGGGAGTGGAGCTTCTGAGGGAGCACTGAAAGTTGAGTTCAAATATCAACAATCCTTCTGCAGAATCACTAATAAACAAATGCACTCCACATTTGCTTTGTACCGTTACATCGTGCAGGCTAAAATCAACACTTTTACATAATAGGCTACTGGTGTTATACAGGATAGTAATATAGATCACATTAGCTGGTGAAGTTACATGGAAAGCCATAATGCTACAACTATAGTGTTTTGAACAGGATAACGTTCTTAGCTTCTCGCAACTGGTCTGCATTATCTAGCAAGCTATCTACCATGAGCCAACTAAAAAATCCCAATATGTTTCGCATGCTTTGCAGTAATGATACTTTATCTGTCCAGTAGGATGAAAGTGAACTCAGTGCCAGTTTTGTTTTTGGTCATTTCCTTTCCAACATTTTGTGTTGTTTTGTTTTTTTGCCTGCCGTATCACCATAAGCTGGTAGTACTAGGGGGACACTAAACCCACGAGACAAGACTTGAGATTCAAGATTGGGTTCATAAGATCGAGACGAGATTTTAACACTATTTTTATGAAATCTTTAATGCTGATTTCTGCATCAGTTTATGGTGATTTGTTTATTTAAAGAGAAACACAAAATTCAGGTAGCAGGTGACAATTCAAAATCTATAGCCCAATTATAACAGAATATAATTCATTGCAGCTCTCAGTCATTCTGTGCTGTTATCAGATCTGTTTCTCCTGTAGATCAACTTATTTAATATCATCCCTGCTGAGTCATGATTTAGTCTTACCTCCTCTTTGTGTCTTTGTTTGGGGAAGTAAACTCTTTAAATGTGACTGTGACACCTTTTCACCATAATAGTCATTTTTTAAATTTTAATGTAGTTATAAACTTTAATAACTCTCTTAATAACTGTTTCAGCAGATTTTCTGCTCATGTTCAAAACTTTCTGCACATTCAGAATCGCTCCCGCATATCTGTGTTCTCTGACATGTCCAGAAAAAGTCATAAGAGAATAACGTCATCATTTAATGAGAAGTCTACCTGCCCTATACTGATGTGCGTTACATTTTTGATCCACTGGTAGTAACGGTAGAAATCTCACCATAAATCCACACAGGTTAACTTCCAGTGCAGCTCACAGTCCCAAACAGAGCAGGCTGTGCTTTTTTTTCTGTTTTTAGATGTTTATGTTGCAAAACTACACCAGCTACATTACCACTCCTCACATCTGTCTGGACTGTTGACTGTATGTAAAAAGGTATGGACTCACAGGGCGAGGGGTGCAGTTGATCACTATCAGGGTATTATTTTCAAAGTAATGCCTTACTTTACTAGATTACTCACTGTTAAAAGTAACTAGTTACGCTACTAGTTACATTACTTTTGGATTACTGCGTAACATAACCTGATGCACAATAACAATATAAAGTTAGGCATACACCTCATATTTTCCCAGATCAACACAAATCCTTATTATAATGAGGATCTACGCAGGATCTCTCTTGTATGCTCTTTAATATTACAAAGCTGACAACAGAGTTGTGAACATCAGCCCAACATTTGTACAGAACAGTGCAGTAGCCTACCTTAATGCTTAAAACTTTATTTGGGCATTTCATTGGACACATTAAGTTATTTTCTCTGTGAGAGGGAAGAATTTAGAAAATTGCGTGGCGCTGCGGAGATCCCCCAGCTGCAGTAGTGCATAGATCATGCATAATATCCATCCAGCCAGAGGGAACGATCACAAACTGTTCACAGTGTGTCGGTCGTACTAGCGACACAACCCGTTGCGGCGAGTGGGGCGATGGAGCGGACAGAGCCACCGCAGAGCGACCGGCCCGCTGCGGACGGTCGGTGATAGTTCCCTCTGGCTGGATGAAGTCTGATTCTCCACATGATCCATGGTAATAAAGAAATATAGAGATTAACGTCTATAAAGCATGCTGTCAATATTTTAGAGACCCCCCCAAAATATCACAAATCATGCTTTTAGGGGAGCTGATGTCTTATTGAGCTCCCCCGTAGTTCGCACCCTGGGCAGGAGTCTTTGAAATTGTGCAACCTGTTCCTCCTCGGAGTCAGCACAAGACTGCCCAGGCTAAAGAGCCTCGTCACAGCCGCACTATGAATCTCAAAAGGTGTCAGTAAAGGGGTGAAATATGCACTTTACGTCTGCTGCATGTCATCATTAAGTTGCAAAACCGATGGAGGTTGCGGGAAAGTGAAGGGACAGAACATTTGAATAAAGAAGAAACAAGAGATATTAGCTTCAGGGTACTTTCTTCACATTTCCATCCCTACAGTATATTAGTGTTATGATTGTTCGGTAGCCTCCCATTTACAGCGATAGATTATCGTAAAATATTTTTTTTTGCTGTTTGTAAATTAATTAAAGTTGGTAAGCCAAAGAGGATTGGCTGAACCAATTTAGAAAATATGAGATTGTGGTTTGTTCACATTAAAAACAGACAGAGATCAGGGATCTCAGCTGAAATGTTCTTTCATTTCTTGACTGGAATAAATGCTTGATCATTCAGTATGAAGTGATGCTGATCGGAGAAAAATTACGACATAACAGTTTTCAGATATTGTTTTCTTCCAGATTTAACTAAAATCCACATCTTAACAATGCGGTTGTGACGCACCCTATCGGTATTCCATTTCAAAGCAAACACAATAAACTACAGATGTTTCTTTCACAGACTCACCGACAACGCATATCAGCAGGTAAACCTTCATTGTGGTCATCATCATCATCACCTCCTGTCCTCTTCTTCTTCTCCAAGCACCAGGTGAAAAACTCAAACCACCAAAGTTTCCCCAGTTGACCAAAAGATGCTGATGTGTTTCTGACGTCTGTCGCCTCAAAGTGTGTTAATGTGTAGGCTGAGAGTGCCAACACAGGAACAAGCTAACCACAATACATGAAAACTTGTCACATCAGCAGACTTGCTTCCTCAGCTGTTATTATATCAGTAGCCTATAGTGCTATACTTTGCTCTACTTTGCAATACTATCCTATTCAGTATCGCTCTATCCTGTTGTACTACATACACTCCTTTTGTGTGTTTTATCTCATTAGTAGGAACAAATCAGATTTTGAAAACATTTCAAGTTGCATGACATGAGCCAGACTGTTTCTTACTTGCTGAAGTCCCCTTTGGTTGTCTTGCAACAGCTCCAAGCTGAGAAATAGTGTGTCACATAAAACTATATTTTGTTTGATTTTTATTCATTCTTTTTCAACAGATTAAACTAACAATACACAACATGGCGACAAGGGAGCTTGAGAGGTGCCTTGACAGAGCAAGGATAGCTGTTACCTTGTTTCCAGTCTTTGTGCTAAACAAAGCAGGGCTATTGTGACATGTCCCCTTGGTTGTACGGTTCACCAAATCACGTTTTCATTAGGTTAATAATTTATATTTTTTTTATAATAGCTATATGTAAAACCACATTCTTGGTTTTGTTGTGTTGTTTAAGAGGATGTGTGATTGTTTGCCTTCCGATGGTATTGTTTATGCTATCACCTAAGTGCAACAAAAAGCATCAGCAGTTTGCAGATGTGGTGAACCACTACATTTAACCTGTGACACCTAAAAATACATCTAGGACCCTTTCAATTACTGCATCATATAAATAATACACAAATACAAAAAAAATAACATTCAGCAAGATATTTTATGGCCATCTCAAAATTAGATTGTCAAAATCAGATTTTGTTTCACATCATTTTGGCAATAATTTATTCTAAAAGGAGAAATGAGAGACAGTAAAAAGAAGAAACGTATTCCAGCAGGTGGCAGTATCAACGTTCAGCAAATGGACAGCCGGCTGAACTGAGAGCAGTAGTTTGCCCAGCTTGGTCCATCCCAAAGTCTGCATGGTAACACAGTTTGTATTAGGAAAAGAGGCTGGTAATGTGTATTTACAGCATTTTCTATTACATGGATACATTTTTTTGAGTTCAGATTAGTTTGAATACCCCGTGAAGAAGAACAGTGTTTTCTGTTGTATTTGCCACCTGAAAGTTCAGCTGAATGATATCTGTAACCAGGAACTCAGATTTACCTTCTTCTACCACTTGACCTGAATGCAGCACAAAGTGAACACCACAGGAGCAGCAAATACTTTCACTTCTTTCAGGTGAAAAAAGGAAAACATGAAAGAAATATGTCAACAAAAATCACATATTTTACATTAAACATAATGACATACATGTTGATAGAAGTGCAAATTAAATAACTTAAGATCTGATATTTGCATATGACATTTCATTTTTCCGTCTTGGTTTCTTGCACTAAAGTGTCAGCGTAGGTTAAAGTAAGGCTTTGTTATTATTCTGTGTGTTTGTATTGTGCATATAAATACTTGCACACTTTATAAACAGGAAGAAACAACTGACCACAGAGGCTCTTCCTCTTATAAGTCAGATTCAAAGTGTGTCACTCATCTTTATCATTTTCAGCATTACATAAAAAATGACAATTTCAGCTGTATTAAAAAAGAAAAATAGAAATGTGGAGCCACACTTTGATAAACCCTCCGAGGTTCCAGTTTTGTTTGGTTTTGTTTAAAATGCAAACAAAAAAGTAATTACTTTTTTGTATTAATTTGAAAAAAAAAAACATAATTTATATAAATGTGTCTTAAGAAATTGTATGAGTAGCAGTGACATTATGTTAATTGTTGAACAAAACTGAGACATTTTGGAGGGGGAAAAAAAAGAAGGAAATGGCTTTTAAAAACAAAATAAATAATTAAAATGGGATTAAGTTGAGCAGGTGATAGCCCCCCTGCTTCCACTCACCCATCTTCTGTATCAACAAAGTGTTTATTTTATTTAATAAGTCATTAAATTTCTATCACTTGGTGATATTGCTGATGTCAGTGTAGTACATTTGAACTTCAAGATTAAAAGTCAGCTTTTCTTATCTTGTCAACTAGAAACTTTCTGAATGCTTTGAAATATTAACAGAACATTAAATTGAATAAAGTACTATAAGTTACTTTTATTTTGATACTTCTAGTTTATGCATCAAGTTTCCTATCCTGAGTAGAAGGTTGATTTAAAATGACCGCCACAGAAATAAGGTCTGAAATAAAATTCCCAATCATATTCATTTTTTCCACATTAGTGCAAAGATTTCCAAAAAGAGCACAGAAAACTATTTGCAATAATCTCACAAAATATGTAGAAAACATTGATTTATCTTCAAAATAATCTCCTTCAAATAATTCTCATCTTCATATAAATATCATCCATGGGGAGAACATCGAAATATTCAAGTGCTGCCAGGAATATAAACATAGTTTACATACAAATATATGCATAAAAACAACATTTAATTACTACACACACATTCATTACTCACACATTGCTGCTCCATGTGTGATGTATGTGCATGTTTCGTGCTTGTACTTTTAGAGCTTTCAGCAGCCTTCAGTCTGGTCTGATGACCACTTAGCAGCTCCTTAGATACGTTATCCGCAGTGCTCTGATCAGAAGTGCATCAACAGCTATATCTGAGGCAGATTATCACAGCCGGACTGGTGGTTTGCGCCAACTACACTCTACCTTTACTCCTCGGCAGAACAGTCCAGTGCGATGCTGTGCTCCTGAGCGATGGCGGCCAGCTCTTTCAGGAACTCGGCGAACAGGATGATGGCGAACACTCGGCTCTTGGCTTGTGGGGGAATAGGAGGGCAAGGCGGCAAGACACTGAAAGGAGGCAAAGCCAGAGCGTTCCTCACAGAGCCATTAGGAAGAGATGGGTCCAGGATGATGTCGCCGCACTGAGACTGCAGGCACTCTGAGACACGTGGGGAAATGTGATTAGAAATGTGACATGTACCGGCATCAGTATGCTTGTTAGATCATCAGGGTCTGAAAGTTCCTTCATCTACATCTTTCTGATGACAGATTTGGGGAAGCTGCACCCAACCTTTCTAACTTTCCGAAACTGACAAAGTGACAAACATGCACACTTAATGCAGTGATTCATGATGTTAAGTACAACATCATGGATGCCTATAACAAGAAACTGTCAACCAATGATGTGCTGTTATCCTCATTTGCACAGTTCATTGGATCTGGTGCTTCTCTAATACAGGCTTTTTGCCACGCCTACAGCCAACAGCTGGTTAGCTTAGCTTGGCAAAAAGACTGGAATGGTGGGGGAAACAGCTAGCTCAGACCATAAAGCTCACCAGTAAACTTATTATATCTCCTTTGTTTAATTCATACAAAATCCAAAAATTAAGTTGCAGTTTTACATGGTGTAATGTGTGGGACTATCTCTTGGCAGGGAGCACGAACATCGTGGAGTCACTGCTAAACATCTCATGTCTGTAAGTTCATATTTAACAGATGGCTCTACTATGACAGTTGTGGTGATCTTCTTCTCTAACTCTTGACAAGAAAATAAACATTTCCCATAAGAAGCAGAGCAACTGTAACTTCAGGCAATAAAACCTCCAGCTAGAGCATCTGTGTGTGTTGATGTGTGTGTTTATTAACCTCTAAACTTGCTGTCCTGGTCTTTAGCCAACAAGAACCGCCAGGCCTCAGTGACCAGGGCAGGATAGTCTGGTCTGGCTGCCACGTAGAGCTCTATCTGAGCATGCACTGACACCAACACCTACAAATATACGCACAGACAAACACAGGAATATCAGTGCACACAGTATTCTCATTTAGGTGGAGTAAGAAATCAAATCTGACATTTGTGACATGTGTGTGGATGTTACCTGGTAAAGTGTGCGTACGTTGGGCTGGTTGTTTGTGTCTGTGCTGAGCAGGAAGGATCTCAGAAGAGGCTGGGGGTATGAGGCCAGCTGGGCCAGGATGCCCGTCACCAGCAGGTTCACAGCAATGGAGTTTTCCAGGAGGTTCTCGAGCCGGGACAACAGGACGCTGATGAACGGACCTGGGGCATCATGGAAAACTTCAGGTTTAGTGTAAATATACTTTCAAATGTTTTATACTTCTTTAACTTATAGTCTTAAGTGAAAATAAAATATCAGTGTTGTAGAATCTGTAAAAAATAAAAAATAAAAAATGGCTCTAATCTGATGCAAAAGAAACCCTCTTTGGGGTTACTTCAAAAACTAGACAAGAATTATTTCTGTAAACATTTAGTTTTCAGCCCAGTTATTACATATTATGAAACTATAAACTTAAAGGTCATTTTCTAATGTTCTTCTATGACTTTGGAGACATAGTATGCTGCCAGTATGCTTCATCAGAAGAATACGCTTGACAATTGGTTGAACAGCTTCTTCTGAAAAACTGAGCACAACGTTATGAATGAATTCCAGGAGAGATTGTCTGAATATGTGTCTGTTAACATCATTTTTTAACATTATTATGTCCTCCAGTGGGGCCATCCAAACAACACAAAGCAGTTCTGTTTGAGCACAACCCGACCCTTACACAACAAAGTCACTTTTAATGTTTCTAAAGGATGTTTTCTGCTTCACGGAGCCTCATCATTCACTTCAGAGCATCTTATTCATGTGTGCTTGAAAACAGACCTGTAAATGGAACTCCGTGCCTGCTGCTGCCTTTCTTAATGCTGCTCCTCCTCTCCTCTCCTTCATCTTCCTCGTCCATTGCCTCCTCCTCTTTTTCCCCGTCTCCTTCATCCCACGAGGAGCTAAATAAAAATTCCTCACCTTCTCCTCCCTCCTCCTCTTCCAGTTTATGCCTCAGAGCTCGGACACGCTTCCTGAATGTGCCGATGTCATCTGTGATGTCGTCGCAGTCTGGCTCCACACCCAAAGAGAGCATGAGCTCGTGGTATTGAGACAGGAAGTCATCATTATTAGTGACTTTGTTACAAGGCAGACTGGGAGGCTTGGCATCAGTTGCAGACATCAAAGGGTCATGTGGCTCAAATTCAAGATGGCCATTGGGTAAAGCCTTTGTCACTAAACATTGCTTGGGATGCTTTGTGTTGTGGTGTGTGAGATTGATAGTAGTTGTGAAGTCACTCAGGTTGCAGTTTTCCTTGAACAGCTTGTAGTCTTCACCAATATCATCACATTCATCGATGATGTGATTCTTATTAAAGCCGTTGGTGAAAAACTGACTTCCCTTTGGCTCTCCTTGTACATCCAGCCTCTTTATCTCATTGTCTCCTTCCTCCTTACTTCTCCCCATCTCCTTTACACAGTCCTCACTAGTCCTCCTCCTCATCTCCTTCCCATAATCCTCACTCCTTCTTCTTTCCTCTTTACCTCCATCCTCGCTCCTCCTCCTTGTTGACATTATACTGTTAATTGTTTCCATTACCGTCCTCCCCGTTGTCGTTAACATTGTTGTTATTGTTGTTGTCGTAGCTGCTTTTGACAGTCGTTGGCCATTTGAGATGCTTCCACGTGCCTGCCGATTCGATGCCATGATTCGCTCCAAAATGGCCACCTTTGTGTCTTTCTGCGCAACGAGATCGTAGACCAGAACGTCATCCTCAAATTCAGATTCCTCTACGTACGAGCCGTGCACCAGCTTGGTAGCAGTGCGCCGCATTTCTTGGATGTGTCTAGGAGGTAGAGGGTGAAGTGCAGGGGTAGAAGTGCATCTGTCGACCTCCATGGTCATGCTGCCATTTGCTAGTGCCGTGTTTATCACCGCTGATAAAGAGGAATCGTCATCTTCAAAAATGTCATCCCACTCCAGCTCCAGCGCAGAGCTGGCTCTTCCTGTGCGGTTGCCCGTGGAGATGGTATCTGAGGAGGAAAGGGTGGGGGAGAGGGACAAGGGGGGTGGAGTGATGACCAAAGAGCAGATGGAATCACTCTTGACTCGCGGTATAATCTCTTCCTCATCTTCTACGTCGTCCCCTGGTGTGTCAGATCGGTATTCTTGAGGCAGAGGGTTGATCCCGTCATACGGAGCCGACCAGAGCCGACATGCCCTGCAAGAAAACAAAACTAATCAAAATTGACATAATGAAATAGACAAATGTCTTACTTATCCTCCACGTATTCCCTTATCAAATGTTACTGTATATCTGATGCTTTTGAGCCATGATGTAGAGACTCTGGGGATTGTCGGTCCACCACTTTGATCCAAACTGAACTGGGAGTAGCTTAGTCCGTAAGAACTTGGCTTGAAAACCAGAGGGTCACGGGGTCGAGAGATACAGAGAGAGGACTGGTGGCTGGTAGACTTGAGCAATCTCTCCATTTGTTGTTGCAGGTGTAAAGGTCCTGTTTGTGCATGTGTGTGTATTTCAGACCCGTGTAACAATAATAATTACAACAGAGTGAAAAAACATTTAATTTCCCCTTGCAGGATTAAAAAAGTATGTCTTCTTCTTCGAAATATCTCAACAACTAAATATTGGATGGATTGCAGTGACATTTAGTATTCACGGTTCCCAGAGGATGAATCCTAGTGAATTTAGAGATCTCATCATGTTTCCTCGCACCACCAGATAGCTGCTTGCTTACTGTCTTAAACTGGGCATTAACTGTTTTAAACAGACTGCCAAAGACAAATTTCCATTTTATGCAAATTTAATGGACAATAAAGTTTTCTTATTTTATCTTATCTTATTCATCCTCTGGGTTGAAACGTTTGTTTTTAGTAAAATATAATGACAACTTTTGAACAGGAAATAGTTGTATAGAAAGTTCATACATAAATGTCTATATTTTATTACAGACATGTACATTATGTTCCCCTTAAGTAGAATCCCCTTACCTTCATTTAATGCCATCATTAGGTTAAATTTTCTAAATTTGTCCAATACTCTGGGTTAATACTTTATGACCAAACACCTGTAAAACATTTCCAACAGCTTCAGCTGTACTTGCAGTGCAATACCAAACATTGCCCAGCAGATGTCCCTAAACACTGACCATGGTTCAGTGCCTTGAAAAGCTTCCCCATCACTGCTCTGATGCGCTGTGGACTCCTTTGCAACAGTGTATTTTGGGTTGTCTGTGTCTCTAAACTGGTGTTGTCCTAACACCTGAAACCACCTATCCATCAATTTTCTCTTTTCCCTTTTCTTGTCACACTGGGTTAGACCCAGTTTGTAATTGTATTTTCCTTTAAATGTAATGACCATAATCAGCAGCATCTAAGATACTAGATCCATAGTCAATCCCCTGATTTTATCATAGAGGTACATAAGTTGAGACTGACCTGTAGGAAGTGGAGATGGCCTGGCGGGCATCCCAGAGGTAGTGGAGATAGTTTACATCCATCAAAAAGTCTGAACCACGACAGTAACTAACGCTGTCCGATACTGACAGATCTGACACAGACAGAGAACTTCAGTCAGCATAAATATGCTGTAAGTTAGAGAGTATTTACTTGTGTTTGTGTGTCATACTGACCTGATCCTTTGGACCAGTGGATGTGCTCTGAGTGTGTGTTAGTGTTGTGAATGTTCCCGGGGCACCAGGAGGGCAAGAGGAGCAGGAAGGAGGCGGCGCTGGAGGAGTAACAGTCCCTCTGCTTTAGGGAGCAGCGCTGCTTCCTGCTCAGGTGGCTGCAGGGGATAAGATACCTGAGGACACACACAGACACTGCTCAATCCCAGCATGCATCACTACTAATTCATACCGCCAGAATACCCTTACTGGTCTGGCTAAAACTACTAAATGTAACTATATTATTTAATACATAGCGTTTGCTTAACCTCCATGGACCTATAAACCCGTCAGACTGACCTGAACACCAGCTGCAACATGACGTCTTCACAGAAGAGACCAATCAGAGTCTTGAACAGGGCCAGTGACACCGTACCCAACTGATGGACAAACAAAAGGTTAAAGGTCATCTCACAGATTAGGGTTAGTTATAAAGCGTGAAAGAGCAGATAGGACGAAGAAGAGCGTGTGTTACCTGGAAAGGTGTGTTGACCCTGCTGACCAGAGTGTCCAGGATGTGCACGTTGTCGTGTGTGTGCAGCAGGATGAAGGACAGGAAGGTCTGGAGGAGGGCGGGCTCAGGGATGGACCGCAGGAAGAGATCCAGGTACGCCGTGGTGGTCATCACCTCCTCCACCGTCAGCTACACACATTAATGTTTATGTAATGTGATTAAATATGGTGATGGTAAATAGTCTGTATTTGTATAGCGCCTTTCTAGTCTTTCAGACCGCTCAAGGTGCTTTACACTCACCCATTCACACAAATTCACACACTGTTGGCAGAGAATAAGTTGCCTGCACATCGGGGAGCAAGGGATCGAACCACTGACCTTCCGGTTAGTGGACGACCGCTCTACTCCACTTGATCGAAATAACAAAACAATTCAATCTCCATACAGACTGAAATTTGAAATATACTGTATTCAGATCCAGTTTTCACCAGGGAAAGAACAAGTTTGTGCCCTCTAGTGGTGATGACATGACATGATGGACATAAATAAATATCCCATCTGCTGCAGCAGTTTCAAGTATGGCAGCACCACAAAGTGAACAGTGAACAGTGAACACAGAAACCAGCAGCACTATACCTTGTGCAGAGCGGGAGCCAGTACAGGCACCAGGAAGCCGTTGTAGATGTAACCTAGCAACTGAGACCGGATTGAGGGATGAGCGACCTGAGAGAGACAGATACAGACATAGAGTCAGCTCAAGCACTGTTTTCTTCTTTTTTCTGTTTGTGTTTGTGTGTGGGTGTGTTTTGTGTATATTACCTTGGTAACAGCACTACAGAAGTCCAGTGAGTGCAGGAAGTGGACGAGTGCAGGAACCTGTTGACCCAAACATCAGGTGAGAGTGACACAATCAGTCCTTCATTTATTCACTGAAATATCTCAACAGTCATCAGATGGATTAAAATTCACTCTCTCACTCACTCAACACATTCATTTCTCAAATATTGTAATCTAGTAATCCCTTTATTCACACGCGCGCACACACACGTCGCTTTGTACCCTATTCTGTCCTTCGTTTTGTTCCCTCAGTCCCATTCAGTTGTTAACAACAAATGAATTACCATCATGGATCCATTTGTCTACAAACACAGAGAGTACACAAGTACCCAGGCTCACTCAGATGAATTCATCATTTCATTGTGTGGTCCTAATGGTTACCTGCTGCCAGTCAGCCTGGTCCAGACAGTGCCAGTCTTCACTGTAAACCTGCAGCCTGGCTGGAAGAGACGAGTACAAACCAGACAGACCTGTTGCCAGCACCTGTTAACACGCACACGTACACATATTAGTACGTCTGCTAGCAGTTTCAAGCACGCAGTACATGGACACAGTTAAAGTAGCACACACATGAAAACACACAGGCTTTTGTGAAAATTAAATTCCAGCGCACATTAGTGTGTTCTTTTTATAAATAGCAGAGAACTGGGGCAGACATAAACCATGGATGTATAATAAGACCTGGATACGGCGCCGCCGCTCAGCTTTGCTTCCACCACTCACGATATTGCAGAAAAAAATTCCCCTGCAGCCCAAAAACATTTTCCTCATAGGCCATCAATGTGAAAGAGAGACGTGTGTAAAAGTGTTGACATGGCACATCAAACTGCAAACAAGTTCAATTATGACCTAGAAACAACCAGAAACGTTTTTTACACATACGCCAGGCGAGCCGTCCTTATTGGACTGAATAGGCGCCGTCTTTGGATCTAGGTCTTAACAATACAGTATGAGACAAATTAGACAAAGAAATCAGTTCTTTCATTGAAGGTCAAATCCAAAACTAAAATTCTTTCTCTCGTATGAGGATGACGATTATGACTTAGAAATTGCTCTGCATGCACTGATATCTCACAATTCTTTGTACTTGTTCTACTATTTATCACTTGTTATTATCACTTTTGCAGTTTGTTCAGAACCACATCTCCACAATACTGGCCTCTCGTCCCTGATTATCAGTTGAATAAAGAGTTTGTTTTAAACTCGTGCTTTTCATTGTTTTAAAGGTCTTGCGTGGATCTGCACCATCGTATATTTTAGATCTCAAGTTGTATCATTCGTCCAGGTAGATCGTCAAACCAGCTCCTTTTAGCTATGTCACAGTCTCAGATGAAACGTGTGAATGCGCCTTTTCAGTTGTGGCCCAAAAACTATGGAATAAACCTTTCATTAGGTCATCCCCGACTACCGGGCCTTTCAAGTCTCGTCTTCAAAAGTATTTTTATTCTTTGGCGTTCGAGTCAGTCTAGGGACACGTGTGCTTATTTGTCACGTTTGCTTTATTTTTCTATTTATTGCTGTGTGTTTTATTATTGCTGTGTGTTTTATTATTGCTGTATGTTTATGTATGTTAACATTTTGGGAGATATGCTTATTTGCTTGTTCAAGAAAGTAAATAAGTGTATTTCCCAAAATGCAGAACGATTCCTTTAATAAGAGAGGGAAGAAGAAGAAAGAGAGAAGACATACAACGATGTCAACAGCTGCAGTCTTGAGTCTTGTTAACAATCAGGCAACCGTCCAATCACGTGCAGACTTACTAATCCTTCTCTGTGCACGAGCCAATCTCACACTGATTTCCTAATCTGCTCTCTACGTAAAGATTGAGGTCAGACTGTGGTAACATGGGTTTAAATCTCACACACACACACACACACACACACACACACACACACACACACACACACACACACACACACACACACACACACACACACACACACACACACGTGATTAAGTGTCTTTGCTCGCCCATTCACTGGTCATTATTAATTTATTACATACCTTGAGTGTTGATTTCATTTATGTTTTATGACATTTTCGTTTATTTTACTCTGTCTTTTATGTGTGTTTAGTTTTGTACGGATTTCAGTTTGTTTTGTTCTGTTTTTGTTGTGTTTTGTTGTTTTTTTATTGTAAAGCACTTGTTGTAACTGCTGATATATAAATACAGTTTATTATTGTTGTTCTGATAATGAGATTACAATGCAGAATGGAGATGAATGGATATAATGACTCATCCACTGCACCAAAAAACTTCAAACTCCACTCATTTAAACAGCTGTCTCATTCATAAAATAAATCTGTATCAAGGTAGTGGGTACATTAAACGGCCCCAAGCATTATTTACTTTTTAGGAGAAGAATTTAACTTGTGTCACACTCAGGAAAGACACAATACTGCCTTTTTTTATTTCTTTCCACACATTTTGAAGGTATGTAGAGATTAACCTAGTTTAGCTCAGCGAGTGGGGGGCTATGTGGGATAAACTGCTCAGACAATATACCTTTAAATTCTCTACAGATGTATGGCTGGTCTAACTAATCTGTGTGATATAAACTGCATTTAAAGTCGCTTATCAGGCAGCTAACACGGCACTGAGAGCACCTTCTTGTTGTAATGCATCTTCGGCCACATGGGTAAAAACAGTAGCTAACAATATTAAAAATATTAGGATGTTTTAAAGAAGTTGCAAAGCAGGTTATTACCATACATTAGCAGGACTCTTATTTATGCTCTTGTCTTTTTTCTTTGACAGTTTTACATTAATAGGACCATGTTAACCGCTTGTCACTGAAAAACGAGAGCAAAATACAGAAGAATGCCAGTTAGCCAATGGGCTTATCATGATCCACATCTACTGAGTGACACTGATCCTGAACAAATCCTTGACATTTCCAACTAGCAGACACTCTGGCAGACGTAAGGCGTCTTCGCCTCAATTGTCTTCAGGAATGAACCGTCAAGGTCAGTGATGAAGGAACTATCTGTCCTCGATGTGATGTTTGGCAGGCTGTAATTTAGCATCAGTTTGGGTGTGTGTCTGTGTGTGTCTGTGTGTGTCTGTGTGTGTGTATTTGTGCACTCACAGGACAGAAGTATGTGTTCTCGGCGATGTGCTGGGCGACTCGGGGATCTGAGGCCGACAGAGACATGATGAGCAGCAGAGCATCTCTGGCCTGCTGACCAACCGAACCCTGTCTGAGGGGGATAGAGATGCAGATTGTGTTATTTGTTCAGTCACCAAAATGTGAATGTACCCTAATTGTGTGTACACACCATAAATGTTATGCAAATGTTGCTTTGCCTTGCTAGTGTGTCTGTACCTGTTTTTGTCTATCCCTACAAAGATTAGTGTGTATGTGCCCCTCCAGTGTTTGTGTGTGTGTATCAATTTTTCCGTGTACACTACCTGTGTATTTTGCATGTATGCACTTGTGTTTCTATATCTGTGTCAGTGTATATGTGTCCCCTACCTGTTTTTGTGTATATGTATGTGTGTATCTTACTTTTATTTATATACCCGTGTGCCCACCTTACTTGTGTCTGTGCGTGAATGTACACTACCTGTGCGAGTATACGATGTGTCTGCACCTGTATATATACCCCTATGTTTGTATCCTATGTATGCACATAAACCTGTGTGTTTGTATACTGTGAGTTCCTGTGTATCCTCTTCATGTACAAGTGTGTACACCCTGCTTATTTGTGTGTCCTACATACAATATAGGTATGTATGCATCTGTGTGTGTGTACACCCTTGTGTTTATACCTGTGCGTGTACGGTATGAGCAGGGAAAAGAGCAGGAAGTTGGCGGCTCCTTGGTCCTCACTGGTGTGGAAGAACAGTTCCAGCACTGAGGGATCTTTGACCAGAGCCACGCACAGCTGGTTCAACAGGAGGACCAGCTCCGCCTCCACAACACTACCGCTGTCTGGGGGGGGGGGAGCACAGGCAATTAACTATCTAGGTGACTGTTTAAACATCTTACTCAATCTCATGGACTCCAGAAGGTCTTAGACATAGTCCAGAACACAACACGCCATGTTTGTGCTAAGCTAAGCTAGTCGCTACTGGCTCCATTGAGAGATTTAATGGACAGATATGAGAGTGGTGTCGATATTCTCATCTAACGCTCAGCTAGAAAGAAAATCTCCATCTTGCCAAATGTCAAATTATTCCTTTAATGATTTCACCACCAGCTCACCAGTTCCCGCTCCAGCGCAGGACGCCAGCAGCATCATGAGCGGTCGTAGAACTGGTTTATGGTGCAGTAGGGGCTGCTTGGCCTGAGATAGAAGCATCTGGTACATCCTGAGCTGCTCCAGCTTCATGTCCTCAGTAAACTGTCTCCTCAGGCTCCACAGAAACAGCCTCTCCATCACACCCTCCAGAACCACAAACTCCAGGATGGTACCCATCGCTCCTCCTGGGAACAGTGTGTAACAGGCGTGAGAACAAATGCAGTAAATCACAGTGGCATGATGAAACACGTTGTTTCTTTGTTCTCTTACCTTGCCCCGCCTCTTCCTCCATGAGCAGGAAGAGCATGTGTTCCACGTAGTTCTGGACGGCGCTGGCCTCGTCAGCCGGGATGGGACCGAGGCGTAATGCTCCGGAGCTGCTGCTACTGGCATGACCAGAGAGGAAACTCAACGCACCAGTACCGCTACGACCCGGCTCGTGTTTCTCCAGAATCTTTACTACCTGCAGAGAGACGGGCATTAAATACATCTTCAAGTCACAGTATTGCACCAAAGTTTTTGAAAATTTGACTTCTGCCAAGCAGCAATCACCACAGCGGCATGTTGAAAGGTTTTGAGCTTATGTTTTTATAATAGTTGCTCGGCACCTGAAGAAATGTTGAGGAGAATGGGAACCCTTTGTTATTTTTCTAGAAATACATAGTCAATCAATTGTTTAGACAAGAAGAAGAAAAGCTAATCACAGTCCTTCTAATGGGTGTCTTGGTGGTGATTTGGTGAAATCATTTTTCATCAAGAATATATTGAGGGTTATTTTGGCAGCGTATTGATTGATTGGCAGGTGTCTCTGCCTATCACACTTAATTATATATTGCTTGGTCATCCCACATCAGCTCCTGCCAGGCTCCATCCTTATTGCCCAAATTTGGATTTTGTGACTCCAGCAGCTGAGTGCCGTGTGCAAAACCTAAATTTTAGGCTTTACAACATCCCTTCAGAAAGCTTTGCTTGACATCACATCACCCATGTTTTTCTACATCCGTTTGAAATCAACTGAAATGAACAAAATCTTTAGGTTGTTCTTCATTAGGTAAAACAGTGGCCTTTTTGGTTTTGCATCTTTAATATTTATACTTAATTTGCATTTATAAACAACTCAATAATTCATCATAATAAGAAAAGTGAGCTACTGTAGATAACAGATCACTGTGGGAGGGGGTGAACAAGGGATGAATACATGAACTGAAAGAGAGAAGAATGTAATTCACTGTCTGGACTTGTGTTAACCTTTGACATCAGCTGCTTCAGACAAGCACCACACACACACACACACACACACGTACACGTACACGCACACACACAGAGTGATGTGTGGGTTTTCTTGGCGGGCGTAGAGAGGTTTGTTCTAAATGGATCCTGTGTTTAAGGGCCAAAGTCTGGATCAGTAAAGCACACGCACACACACAATCACACACTGTGTCTGCCAACCATTATGAGGAAAATAGGACAGACTGAAGAGACTGAAACTGAGGGACAGAAGAAATAAAGAACGACAAATAACAGGGAAGTGAGTGTGATAAGTTGATTGACGGATAAGCTGATAATACCGTAGGGGAAGCCTGGAGGGTGGTTACTAGATGAGTTAATTTACCTGTGCCCAGTGGTTCTTAAACACGATCATGCAGGTCTCGGGGTCCACCCCTCTCAACGTGAGAGACTTCTTCCGGTTGCCCCCGACAACCACCGAGGCCATCATTTTTGATTGTCAGTCAGGCGGCTATGGCATGATCCAGTTCAGTGTGTGGGATGGTGGGTGTCTGATGAACGGAGCAAGGGACATTAGCTGGCTCTCTCAGCCCAAGATCAGGCCCTTTCCCTGGACTTGGTGGGCAGCTGCTGGCCTGCAGGAGGTGGAAGTGGACAGGGTAGAGATTTTTTATTATTCCTCTAGTTACTGAGTTCAGAGATATATTCTTTATTTCCGGGAGCTCACCAGTAGTGTTGCATGTTTTAGCCCAAAAGACGCTATTTTTAACTCCAGAATCTGCCAAATCTGCAAAACTAATGACACACCCATCAGCCTCAGCTCTGTACTTTGTGCTAATCAGTAAATGTTAGCATGCTAACAGGCAAGGGCGTCACTTAGTGTTGAAAAGTGGTGAGGACATTTATGCGCTTATATTAGGGGTGTGACGAAACACTTAGTCCACGCGACGTGATAATGCACAATACTAGAGTCACGAGAACAGGACTATTGAATATTACTGAATATTTTGAGCATTCAAAATTTTCTGCATTCGAAAGACTTTTTCTGCACCAATTTAACCAAATGTCTTTATTTAAGTGAAGGAAAAATTCAGAAAATTCAGGTGGCCGGTAACAAATCAGAATAAAAAATATTGTAGAATATAGTGCAATAATAAGCAGCTTGTTTTTTTAGCCTAAGGTACTTTTTTGGACAAGGCTGGTCTGTTTATATTATATTTAAATTAATTGCATTTCATGTTTTCTCATTGTGCAAGTAAACCTTCCACAAAGAATTTTTATTTGTAATTTAACATTTATTGTGGCTACTTTTCAGAAAACGTTTAGCAAATGCCTTTAAAAAAGTGGTGGGGACATGTCCCCAGTGTGAATGACACCTATGCTAACGGGTTGACCTGAGACCTGAACATGATAAACATTTTCTAAACATCAGCATGTTAGCCTTGTCATCGTGAGCATGTTATCATGCTGGTGTTATCATCAAGTTCAATGTGCCGCTGTGTCTTATTACAGCCTCACGGAGCTGCTAGCAAGGCTGCAAATAAATATTAAATTCTCGAATGATCAGTGAAGCAAGTTTCAGGTCCCTGCAAGTAGATTTTCATAAAGTGCTGAAGTGCCTGTCTGGAAGGCAAGAAATGAATCTTTAAACTTGTACAACTTACTGTAGAAATGTTTTGTCGACAGTAATGTAAAGTATACAAGGTTTGGGGTTCATATTCTAAAACATATACAACTATCTGATACCTTAAAAAGTATTCTTTCGCCTCCCATTTTGTGTTACTTAACATACAGGTATGTTTCAATATAACATAAACGAGGGGGTTGTCATTTTGTTTTTGTTTCAGCCAAAACAAACAGGGCAGAATCTTCTGGAGCTTGTTGTGTATTTGGATTGGGATTTACAGGGTAAATGAGGTGAGATTAATACCCAGCGAGAGGTCAGTGAACAGAGCTCAGAGTTTGAAGCAGGAAACACTTCTCTTTTCCTCTTAGATATGACCTTTCACTGCACCAGGGGGTCAATATTACCAATCAGTGATCAGATGCTTAATCAGATTATATTTTTTTTATTAACAATGATGATGAGCGCAGAGCTATTTTCTATTTTTATGTCTTTATGTCTTTATGTCTCTCTCTCTGTCCCAAAACTGACAATACCAAAGGCCCCAACAGGAAGTAAGGGTCGTCAGCAGCAACAAGCAAACAGGAAAAATGAGAACACGTCCAAGTCCCACCCTGGGCGTTCCTCGGCGTTCCAGGACATTCCATGAATTCCCATCTGAGCTCTCCAAGAAATCACCCCAACAGTATACCTACCTCTGTGCAGCTGCTGCGACGACATGGACGAGAGAGCCCGCTGCCTGTTGTCCTGAGAGAGAGAGAGAGAGATATGAGTAAAAGGTTGTAAACGCGAGTTTAAAAATCCATCCTTCACCATCTGGGCCTCTAATCTGTCTGTCTGTCTGTCTGTCTGTCTGTGTGTGTGTGTGTGTGTCATAGACTGTATATAAGAAGGTGTGTGTGTAAAAGAGAGAGAGAAAAAATTGAGAGGAGTAATCTGAGATGAGACAGTGATGTTTAATCCCAAACCACCACAGTGTGTGTGTCTGTTAAAGTCAGACAGTCACATGCCATTACACGAACCAGGGATTAAACACACACACACACACTGACCAGAGGTGTCAGATAGATTTTCTGACCTGTTTTTTTTTCCAGGCGTTTAGCTGATTGAGATTGGAATAAATGATTATGACAGTGACAGTTCAAGGGCACTTCAGCAGGACACACACAGCCTGATGGGGAGATCCAACCTGCAGCCTTTCAGTTACAGGGCTGTCTGTGACCGGTCAGTGAAGGAGCGGTTGCATTGTCATCCTAGATTTCCTTAGTAATAAGACATACAAACTGAACCTGAAATGTATCTCCAGGGTGTAAACATGTTCACACACAGGTGTTAATCTCCTTCATCGTCAGCAGATGTTGGACTCAAGGTCTTCACTCTCTGCACTGTTGTGACCACAGCTGTTTGTTTCTCAGGGGTAAAAGTCTAATCAGCAAGTCCTCATATCAAATAGACAAAATAGCTGATTTGTCAGTGCGTTTCAAAATGTTTTTATCGATTTATCTGCAGATTAATTTGCCTGGCACTGGACAGGAAGGGGATCAATATTTGTATTCTGAAAAGTAACTCGTAACTAAAACTGTCAAATGTAGTGGAGTAAAAACTACAATATCTGACATGTGGTGGAGTAGAAAGAAGAAGTCGCATAAAATATAATAAAGTAGGCTAGGCCTTAAATGTCGACTTAATAAGTAGCCTACACGTGTAGGCCTTGTGAACATTACTCAGCAAAATTCACACACCTGACACACAAAAGAGTCAATAAAGTAGAAGCAACATATGATGAGATGCTCTATTCAGGCCACTACTTTGTTATAAGTCTATAATTTTCTACTCCAGTCTAAACGTGTCTGTTATATTTATTGTTCCTTTTTTTTTGCTGTACTATCTTCTAATGATTTCATTTTATGAGGTCATATTTTGCAGGATTTATGTTTTCTTCTTTCGGTTCACAGTCTGCACTCACTCATACTGTGTATTTTCTCTATTTCCATCACTTTATTCGGTTCTACTTGTGTCTTTTCTATCCCTGACTAAAAGTTCCTCCGCTGCTTTACTCTGCTTGTTAACACAGGCCTAGGCTGTTACTATAGGCTACTTTTATTGTTTTTTAATTATTTTAGTCTTTTCTATTCTGACTTTCTTCTTTTTCTGACAGTCAGCTGCTGTTATTCTGCGAAACAAATCTGAAAAACAGTCTGTAACTTAGTTTGATAGATAACCCTCCGGTAAAACACAAACTATGATATTATTACAGAATAATATTTTATATTCCACACAATATGTTCTGTACGCTAAAGCTGCAGAAAGCTGACAGGCGGATCTTACCTCGGCTGGTCAGGGGGGGGAGAAATGTCGGTCTAATGTCCAGCTGTTACTTCTTGTTCCAAAAACAAAATTAAGCAGTTTAAACTCTAACGTGTAGGCTGTAAATCCCGGTCTTTCTCGGTTTAACTCGGTTGTTTGTGCCCTTTCGGCAGTTTCTGGAAACCGCTTCGCTCCTGAGGTTTTAAGCCGCTCAGCTGTCAATCACGCTGCTGCTGGCTCCTAGGTAAACCTCTGGCCCCGCCCACATACACAGGAAGCCACGCCCCCCGGTTAGACAGGGATCACGCTGCAGTTTTACAAAATAGACCAGTGGTGGAGCATACTTATGTAAAAGTACTAATACCACAGTGTAAAAATACTCTGGTACGAGTAAAAGTCCTTAATTGAAAATCTTTCTTAGGTAAAAGTACTTAAAGTATTAAAGTAAAAATACTTCATGCAGAAAAATGTCACCTTTGACTGTTATTCAATTCAATTCATTGGGGCTTTATTGGCACGGGAAACAGACAATTACATAAAGTAAGTGTGAAATTTTACATGTAGGCTACATAAACATAAGAGTACTATGTAATATATATTAAATAGCCTATAGGCCTATATAGTCTATAATTACATTATTAATCCTCATGCATTAGCCTAATGTAAAAGAAGGATTTTACTGCTGTGGTTGTTGAGGTGGAGCTAACTTTAAACTATTTTGTATCGGACTGCAACTAATGATTATTGTTATTCTGGATTAATCTGCTCATTATTTTCTCCAACTGATTGTTTGGTTTGTAAAAATTGGTATAAAAAAAACCTTCACAGAGAGCCCAAAATGACCTTCCCCATGCTGCAACCTCAACATTAACAATTAAAGTTTAAAAAACAATTCTACATATTTGAGAAGCTGGAACCATGAAATGTTTTCATATGAAAAAATTACCATATGATTATCAAAGTAGTTGCAATTAATTTTCTTTCAATTGACTAACTGATTAATTGATTAATTGACTTGTCCTTTCAGCTGTAGTATAAATTGTTGGTAGTTTAATTTATAACAAATCATCATATTTTATATGCTGTTCATATGTTTGTAATGCAGAAATCTTGATTAGTATAGGCTAACTAGACCTAAATGTATCGTAGCAAATGTATAAAGTGGCATGAAAACAAAATACTAAATGTAGGCTACTTTTTTACTTACAGTCACAGGGGCTAACCTATAAGAGATGAGTCCCAATATTGTGAACATTGTGACCTGCAGAGCCCTATAAAGGAAAGGTTATCTCAGTATGCACCCTGCTGAGTGATACTGTTAACCAGGCTCCGTTAATCACCGTGGAAACACAGGTTAACTGCTGGTGTTACAGGAGCCGTTAATCTGCTGTGAGAACATGCAGGTCATCTGGATCCCAGTAAACCACCAACCACATCATCTGGTTTAAAACATGACCTCGTTTGCAGCAAGCAAATCATATTGATTTGGGTCATTTGGTAATAAAATAAATAAACAAAATTAAACTTCGTAAGGTTGCATTGGTGTTTAAGTTGGTGGAGTTAAAAAGTACATTTAACTTGTTATTTGGTTTAAAAAGTCTTGTTGTTTGCATGGATTTATGTGCATTTTGTTTTCTGTCTTTGGTGCAGCATATAGTTTTCAATCACATTCCTACACATCTGCAGGAAAAACAAGTGTATTTAGAGAAGTGTGAATGTATTTTGTGCGCATGCATGCACATTTTTGGTTTTAGATGTGTAGATTTGGTGAGGACCGAAATCAAAGTAATCAAAGTGTCAGTGCTGCACTCTGGTGGCAACATGTTGAAACTGCAACTGATTATTATTTAAACTGATTAATATTTAATGGTGGAAAAAGTATTCGTTATATACAGTCTATGGTTGCAAGTGATTGCAAGTAACAATACCATAAAGTATGAGTTTGTACTAATTTTGGAAGTATTTGCAGTAATACCTCCCTCAAACAGCAAAACTGCCATTGCGTTAATGTGTAAATGATATTTTAACAGTGTAGGTTCAGGGAGTGTTTATATGACTATAGCCTAATTGCATAAGTAAAGGAAAACATAACATTTCATGAGTTTATTGAATATCTGTCTTGGAAAATCTTCATCTGCAAAGTAATACTGGTGGAAGAATTATACATCATTTCCTTAAAAATATTGTATTATAGTAAAGGTCCTTCATTCAAAATGCTACTTAAGTAAAAGTACACAGTAAAACTAGGAGTAACTACAGTACAAAAGTAAAAGTACTTAGTTGCTTTCAATTACAGATTCAAGAGCCTGTTTCCCTCTAAAATAGTAAAACAGGAAATGAAGTATAAAGAGTAACAAAATAGATTCATTTTGGTTCATTTTTGCCAACTTTATATGCATTAGTTTTTGCTTTTGTTCAGCCCCTATTAAACTGACCCCCAAACGTATGGTATCATTTCATTCAAAACAACCTCAGCTATAGGTATGACTTATCAGTTCAAGTTTAAAGCTGCCAGGAGCACAAAATGCAAGAAAAAGGCCCCGGATACATGAAACCAAATTTATAAATCTTCAGAGATAATCACTCAAAATATTATTACACAATGGTTCAACGTTGTAAAAAATATTACATTCGCCATTTATGCTCACAAATGCAACAGAATAATGTAAAAAATAAAACTATGATGCAGACTATTTACATATTGAGTGTTGTTATTCTAAACCATTTGTATGCCAATGCATATCACTGAAAATATTCATAATTCAAAGTTTTAAAAAATATATATTCAACAGAGATCCAGTGTTAAAGCCCACGTCAGCACTTTCAACTGGTTTTCTCATCTTGTCTCTACATGATATATAAATAATGTTACGTTTTACAAATACAAAATGCTGACTAGCTAGACCCCAGATAGATTTTGGCACATTTTAGCTCTGGACATCAAAATGAAACTCAACACACGTTTCCTAACTGATCTCAATCATAACTGCAGCACAAAGGAAAACATTAACCTCAATGCCAACAGCCGCTGCCAGTCGAGACCTGTTAATACCTGTTTACATTCTTCCTCCAGCTTGCAATATGTTCAACTCAGTAATCAGTCAGTCTCTCGCTCTCTCTCTTTCTCTCTGTTGTTTTATTCTATTTTTCACAACATTTCAGTTCTCTTGTACTGTTTAAATAGGACGAAGGCTCAGTTCGTATATATTGGACTCCCTATAATGTGCTTCTCTTATAGTATATATATTTAGCACTTTAAGCCATGCTACTTGGATGACTTTAGGGGTTTCTGCCAGTTGCCAACACTATATCTCAACAACTACTGGATGGATTGCAATCAGATTTTTGTGCAAACATTCATGGTCTCCAGAGGAATAATCCTAATGACTTTTCCTGTTGCGTCACCATGAAAATGACCTCGAAGGTTAATGACATTCAACAAAAGACAATTTAGCATGGCAATTTAAACTCCTGTTTTCATCTAGTACAAACTATTTCTTATATAAAACTTTCTCTCCTGGCCTGTTCAGATGAACAAACTCATGTTTTTTTTAATAAATCGATCATGCTTAAACTATTCTTTGTGTTCTACTTGAAATTACTCACAAAACACTCTGGCCAGCACCTCTTTAAATACAACACATTATTAATATTAGATATTTATGTAGCCACCCAGCAGTATAATGTAGCCTGTTTATATATGAGAAAGGCTTACTTTAAGTACCTTTTTCAGTACTTTTAATCATGTACTTTTACTTGTAATAGAGTATTTTCACATCATGGTACTGTTACATCTAGCCTAATAAAAATATTTCACCAATGTGTTTGTTTATATATAAGATAGGCCTAACTTTTGCAGGTAAAAGTACTTTAAATCATGCGCTTTTACTCGTAACAAAGTATTTTCACACTGAGGCACTGTTACATCTACTAAAATATCTGAGTATTTTAGCACTGTGTTTGTTTATGTGAGCTAGGCCTACTGGATACTTAAGTACATTTGGCAGGTAAAAGTACTTTTACTCATGTACTTTTACTTGTAATAGAGTATTTGTACATTGTGGTATTGCTACTTTTACTAGTGAATGATGAGTACTTCTTGCGCCACTGTTTAACACAACAAGATGTTTTGGTGAGCTAAGCCAATTGTTTTGTCCTCCATTTTTTTGTCCCTCATTCCCGTGTGTTTGTTTTTTCAGGTGATGACGTCACGCAGCCGGAGAGCGTGCGGCTCTGTTTCATGAGCTCGCGACCGCCGGCGGTTAAACAGGGAAGCCTGGAGAAAGTCTTCAACCGAAACCACACAGCGACACTTACTGTAAAAACAGCATGTTTTAACCAGTCTAACGTCTCGGAAGCTGCTGGACTCAGAGCCGAAGAGTTTAACTGACCCTGGAAGTCGTTTCCGCCGATAAAGTTGACGGTGTTTGGGGCGAAGTTGTCCCGAGTTGTTGCGGTGGACGTTAGCGACGACAAAACAAGAGGAGGAATAATGTCGCTGCTGTCTCTATTTTGACCCAGCTCCATTTCCCCCAGACAGACAGGAGCAGGACAAGTAAGGGGAGAGAAAGAGGGAAAGAAAGTAAGGAGAAATGGCCGAAGCACGACCAGAAGAGGAGGAGGAAAACATGATGAGGGACACCCGGGAACAAGTGGTTCGAAGACAGCCGAACAGCTCCGGAGGTAACGTTAAAAAAAGAGCCTAAAATATTAACGCGTCTCGTTTGTGTCAAAGCGACTCCACTTGGTATCGATTCAAGATATAGATCCCCGTGGCAAACACGAGTTGTCACAAGCCGACTGACTAGCTTACACTGAAAAATGCAAACCCTCAGATAATCAGCTGGACTGGCTGCACATGTCTGCAGTATTTTCTTGATATTTTATAATTGCAGTATTTCTGTGTTAAGTTTGGTGAGCTGACAGGTACTACATACTCCCTCAGGATCCTGCACTCTTAATATCTGTGGTATCTCAGTAAAATCTCTCATAGGACAGATAAAACTATTTGTTCACTTTACAGGCTGAGTTAAATATACCAGTACCTTTAATGTGCAAAATTGTAGTTTTTAGAAAGCCACAAAGCAGTGTCTGAGTCTGTACTGAAAGACGTGTAAGAAGATGTTAAGAAATCACAAGTAAGTTGCCATATCAGCTCTCAAAGGTATGACATTTGGGTAGAAGTTTTGAATGAATAGTTGATTGACTGACTGAAAATCATTTAGTACTTAAAGCCATGTAGCTCAAATCTCTCTTAAATGTTAGTATGTACTGTTTCTATCTTTTATAACTCGCACATTAAACTAAATATCTCTGGGTTTTGGAGTCTTGGTTGGACAAAACAAGCTGTTTGAATATGTCAGCTTGTTTTTTTTTAAAAGACATTTTATGGACCAAACGACCGGTCTGTTATTGATTAATCAGAAGAATATTTGACAAAGGAATCAAAACTGAAAATAATTATAACTTTCAGCTCGAGACATGACAATAGGACACTCATACATAATAGAGAGAGCTATTTATCTATTTTGTTAACTGTATGAGCGTGTGGGTGTAACCTGCTTCAACCCAAAGACATAAATTCTCGTGGACATATCGCCATCTGGGTCAAAGTTTACACACGCCGGCATAAATACACCGACATTCCCAGTTGACTGTAATGGCAGCAGCCTGTGTGCCAAGACTCACAGCCATTAGTTTAATCTACAAGTCTCTGCCTCATACAGGGAAACTCAAGTTGTATAATTAGAGTTAATAATTGATATTTTCTTTGTAAGTGTTAGTGTGTAAGACAACGGCATACGAGGCCTTCCAGATAATGCCCTTACCTCAGCCCTCTGGCTAGGGCTGGGTAAGTGTTTAGGATAATTACGACACAAGTCTGAGCGCCACCTGAGTGATTCTATGACGAAGCAAAACCCTGAATACTCAGTCAAGTATTTTAACAGCCCAGAGTAAAACCTGAAATATTGCATTTGCCGTTATTTGTTTAATATCATCACCTAATTGGGTTGCAGTGGGATTTACGCAACAACATAACAGGATAGAGGTTCTGCTTCAGTTTGGCCTTCAGCACAGGAAGGTTTGGTTTCTGTAGACCGACCTTTTCTGCACAGTGTGTTTTGTAAATAGTGAAGCAGCTCTGAGAGACAGGCATGCACGCATGCTTTATCGTCGTTATTACATTTGGTCTCAGGGTGAGCAGATGTTGGGGTTGGGACTCAATAAAACATGTCAAAGAATCTGAATCATCACGAATCTCTTAACTAATGTAATTAGCTTTCAGCATTCGAAGGTAGCTGTGATCACAGCTGAGAAGCTAGAAACACAGCAGTTTTAAGTGGTAGCCACTAGATTAATTGACATTCGCATTAATTAAGCCAGCCTGTTCACAACCTGTAGCTACAACCTGAAAATGTAGCAGAGCAGCAGGTGATCTGAAATGTTGATGATTGATTGTTCTGATCAGCTGATAACGAACTGACTTTTACACCCGATGCTACTTGATCCACATAAAGAAGTTCCTGACTCAGAACTATGGAGTTGATGAGCTCAAAGTATTGATTTGAATTAATGTTTATGAGCTACAGCTGATAAATCAACCACGGTTTAGTTCTGGCTTGAACGAGAAGCCTGCTAATGTTACCTAAATGTTTTTGTACGTTAGTCTTTGCAAATAAATAGAAGGAGAAGATATAAAAGATGTGTTTTGCCTTCCAGGAAATGGATCCAAATTGAACCGGCAATCTGAACCTACCTCTACGATATATATACTGTGAGACGAGATGTTAACAGTCAGACATTTTCTACCATTTATACGACTCCAGGAACAGTTATTATGTTACTGCCATTGCAGACATTGTTGCTAATCAGGGAGCGTAATAATAATACATTTTATTTATATAGCGCTTTTCAAGAAGATAAGCAAAGACCCTTTACAGGACAAGTTAAAAATGATCCTAGATAACTAAAAACACAGTAAGGTAGCAGAGGACATTAAACTCAAACATTAAAGCAGCTCTGGAAAAGTCAGTTTTCAATAACTTCTGCACGGATTTGTATGTGAATAAACTTGACTGTAGGGCTACGACCAACAATGATTTCCATTATTTATTAAAGGGAGAGTTTGGGATTTTTGAAGTGGGGCTGTGTCAGTGTATTACCTGCAGTATATGACAGTCAGTTTGTCCCCAGTTCGGAGAAGCAAAGAGTTGTAATGGCACAGAAGCTAAGCAATGTACTGCTGTGGACAGGGTCGGCGGCAAAACATATTTTAGCCACCTGAAAGGTGCCAGACACTTTTATACAATACACCGCTAAGTTGCACTAATGTGTGGGAATACTGACTGTGGTTCTCAAAGTTTTACAGGTTGAGGACCCCTTAACTGACTGAAATTAGACCACTGACCCCCGTTCGATAATATTTTGTCCCAGGTTTCCCCATCTGAATTTTTGTCTTTTAGATATTGTATTACATAAAGTTTATGAAACCCACGACCAAAATATGCACACATTCTGTAACATAATTATACAAATAAGGAATTGTGGTTAATAAATTACAATTACAACTTTTTGCTGAGGATCCCCTGGAACCCCCTTCCAGGACCCCTTATGTGTCGTACATGTATCGTTTTTCCAGTGGGCCTTCTTTTAGGTAACCAGAACACATTAGCTGCTGACCCTGTCAGCTGCAGTACATTGCTTAGCTTGCATGCCGGTATTATTCTGTTTCTCCAAACAGGGCACAAGCTGACGGCCATCTACTGCAGGTACTATCCCTTTAATCTGTTGATTAGTTTTTTAAATAAATTTATTAATCGATTAAATGTCAAGATAAATGCCCTCCACTGTGTCCCAGAGCTCAGTGTGATCTCTTCAAGTTTCTTGTTTTGTCCATAACCCAAAGTTTGTCATATTACAATGACCAACAACACCAAGCAGCACATAAAACAAATCCTCACATCTGAGCAACTGGAACCAGGAAATATTTGGCGTTTTTGCTTGATTATTGTCTTAAATAATCATTTACCAAAATTGATTATTGACGTAGTGGTTAAGACGCATAACACAACATCCCCAGATCAATTCTGCCAGGATGTGGAGAAGGGAACAAGTTTCTTTGCCAAATCATGGTTTATTTATTTGAATGATTAAAAATTCAATAAATCATGATGAGGATTTTGTCCATAAAATCCTCTGTGCTGATGTTTTCTCCACTATATGAAAAGGAAGTGGTTCATTTTACATTTAATAAACAAGAAGAAGAACGGGGAAGTTAAAAATCCACTCACTCAGGTGAGAATTGGTGACAGGGAAATGCATTACTGAAACACCAAAGCAATAAGAGCTGCGCAGAATGTCCAGTGTGTAGTATAAAGGACTTTAAAAGCTTTTAAAACTTCACAATAAATGGTAAACTTGAGTTCAGTCCACCTGTCAGAACGAGGCTTAAACATGGTAAAAAGTCTGAGTCAGCTGTTGTTGTGTAATTAGACTCAAGCAATGTAGTGCTTTTCATCTTTAACTTCAAATAGTTTGATTCACCAATACTACACAAAGAGTTTTCAACAAGCAGGAAACTATTCTAGAGATTATGCAAAGTGTTTGGGTACAGCCCAGGCTGGTGACACGAGCATTAACTCACCCACTGGGAAACAGTGTTTGTTGTGGTTCCGGTCTCTCTCTCTCCGGGTTTAATCTGTGATTCATTTATCCGGCATTCAGAGTTTGTTGTTTCCACATGGGGTTTCTCTTCAGCCTCGCCTGAGCTTTGAGAAATGCAGATTAATCTCAAGTTAATCGTTTTATACATGTTGTCAATGATATCAACATTGTCAGTTTAATAAAGAAGAAGAAAGATGTTGGAGCTAGTTGGCATTTTGATTAAGGTGGAGGTGAACGTCATCCTCTAATGGATTTAAGTAGGCGGTCAGATGTTTCCAGACTGCTTCAAAAGGTTTTTATTTCCACACAGACTCGTCTGTTAACGTGCGAGGTGATAAATGTCTCATGTAAGTGTCCCAGCATTGGTCGGTGAGTGTTTCCCTCCACGTGACCATACTGACGGCAGGGAGAGCGCATCTGCTCTGCTGTACACATACTTCAAGAAAAAATATCGTCTTGTGCAGCTTTAAACCTACCTAGGTAAAAGTACCTGTTAGCAGGTATAAGTACAACTTCTACACAGTGGAAAACCAAAAGAAGGAGCAGGTCGAGCTGGTGCCGTGCAGTGGAAAAGGGGCTTTACCGTCTCTCTCTCTCTCCCTGTATGTCCGCTTAGGTGATTTCCTCCATCAGTAGTAGGCTAGGCTCTATAAAGTCACCGAAAGGAGGCGTGTTGACTACGTAGCCTATCAAAACAAAACCAACGCGGTAGCTAATGTAACATCTGACTGGTGTGTTCACTGTCGCTTTATCTGCTCCGCACTTGTAAAATATCTGCAGTGTCGCGACTTGTAACGTAATCACCGTGTTTCTCTGATAAATGCTACAATGTGTCTTCTAACCTGGACGGCCCACCGAAGTAAAGTGCATGTGTGGGAAACACTGAATGAACCGTGCTTTTCTTTTCACAAGCCAGGTCTTTACCAGTGTTGACCAGCACTGTGACTCCCGCCATGTTGATGAGTAGACGGCTGCGAGAGAGAGGAGCAAACGCTGGCAGGACTTCGCGGAAACATATTAATAATTAACTCAACATCAAACTATATCAGTATAAACTGTATTGTCTAATTTAATATCTCTTTTGAAATTATATCAGTATACATTATATACTGATATACCGCCAGCCCTACGTATGGGGAACACTGACATTATCAAAGTGATCATTTGAAATTCCCTTATAAAATGCCAAACACTCCCTGTTTCCTGCTTCTTGGTTTTGAGGAGCTGCTGCTTTTCTTCCTTTTATGTGATGATAAACTCAATATCTTTAGAATTTGATGATATCACGTCAGGTTTTACCACATTGTGAGAGGCATCATTTTATAGACCGTCCATAATAAACTAATTCTTATCTGCAGCCCTAATCGTGGATCTGTCCACCTGATGAATGAGTCCAGTATTCACCCTCCTTTAGCTTTGTATTGCTTTACATATGGCTCCTGAGGAAAATATCTGGCTTTTTAGCAGGTAAATGCTCCGCGATGTTCACCAGCTAGTCTGTAACCTTGTATGTGGGAGTTAGCAGTGTACTGTGGGTTTATCAAAGCTTTTCACTGAGAACAGTCTAGAAATTAGTTTAATGAGAGCAGTAGAGTGATCAAAACAGTGAAGTTTCAGGCTGTAAAACCAAAACAGTGAGCTGAAATTTGCTTAAAGCTTTGAAAAGTTGAGGGGAACTGCAGGGGTAGTGATAATTCTCTGTGGGTTCATCATCTTTTACATCTGTTCTCCTTAATGTGTTACATCTATACAAATATACGATAGCAGCTTCAAGGATGTGTTGTCTTCATGATGGTCAAGTTTCCTTGAGCTAAAATCTCTTCTAGCTCCAACCTGTGACCTCCCCGTGCCAAACAACAGATGACGGGCGCAGTGGAAAATGTGCTGCGTTGTGCAGCGGCGTGTTTGAACGCAGCTCCAGCATGAAGCTCAGCCAGCCTGCTGCAGGACGAACATCTGGAAGTGTTAAAAAAATCCTGATGACTCCAGCAGAAATCCACAGCAGCCAATCACAGCCTCACTTCCTGGATGCTCTCTGCCTATCAGGGAGCTGTCCAGAACAGACGGGCGGTCCAGAGTTTTAGAGACAGAGAGAGAGCTGGGGGAAGAGAAGAAGAAGATAGAGGAGAGAAAAGAGAAATGTTCAGTTTTGGATTAGCAGAATAAGACAGAAGGTAGAAGAAGGTCTTTGCAGAATATTTTACAAACATTTAGTTTGTCTGGACGCTACAGGGAGCAGCGCTGACCTGACTGTCACAGGAAGGGAGGTAGGAAATGGGAAAATGCACACAGACATTTTCTCTGTTCTTTGTTCAACTTGAAAAGGTGACGACAAGGTGAGGATGTGTTAATCCTCAAAATTGTTTTACTTTTGTCCTCTTTATTGTTGCTCTGTGTCCGTTACTGGAGTTTTTCTAAACTGCACTTTAGTCCGCGTGGACAGGGACATCCTCCTCCATTTTATTTTGATGTAGTTTCAGTAGGTGGCGCTATTTTTTGTGTGTGCTTTGCTACTTCTTCTTCGTTCTACTCCTATCAAACTGGAAACATATAACGCATAACTTCCTGTACAGGAGAGGATTGTTTGTCATTTAAACCAGATACGACTTCATCGACTCAATAACAAGTTTGAATTTATTTTTTATTTAAATTTATTATTTTCATGCGTTTTGACAGCGTGTCAGTTTTGCGTGATGTATAAAACTGATTTGTTCTTTGGGATAAAACACTGGAAGGATCATTCCTTTCTTTCAGCTTAACCACCAGGGCTGGGTGTCATTCGGACATTTTTGGTAATTGGGGCAAATACAACACTTTTTTAAAACCTTAGTTTGGGGAATAAAAAAAATAAATTAACAAAAAATGCTTCCCATTTCATAGAAAAATTGTCCACACACAGTTGAGGAGGGTCGTCAGATGCAAAAACTATCAGGGTGGTTCGATCAAAGGTTGCAAATAAACTCCCGCACACTGTCTAACTTGCAATAAAAAATTTATTAGCTGGGAACGTTTTGGCACTAGACCTTCATCAGGCAAAATTTTACAACTTACAGGACTGACAGCAGTGTCCAGTCAGGAGGGAAGCGGTCCACATGAACCTGCAAGAAAACCAGAATAAAGAGACATGAAGGTGTTTATACACAAACAATGCAAACTCTATATGCACACAAGACCAAAACAACAGTACCACTCACCAGATGGACAACAGGAAGCCGTCACAGGAAACAAGCTGAAGACATTTTCCTCGTAAAGACCCTGTGGATGTGGTCTTCTCACATAGGGAATCTAATTAGTTGTGGATGTTGAGTCTGTTGGATGGCACAGAATAAATAAAGATGTAGTCTAGGCTTCGACAAGATCTGCAGTTGTGTGGTCAAAGAATCTGACCAAGCTTTAAAAGCCCACTTCTGATACCTGATGTGAGGTGCACGATGTGTTTCAGTCCGTTGTCCGCTGAGAAATTAGTTTGAATGTAGAGGCCTGTTAATCATAATCTTTCTCCCTCTCTGTCTCCTCCCAGGTCGTCCTGACCGGCGTAAGCCCGAGCAGCGTCAGAGGTAAGATCTTTTTGTTCTTCTTCCTCTTCTTTGTCTTACCTGGCAGTTTGGTCAAGATGAATAAGTGTGAACCAGGAAGTGTTTAACATGAGCCACATGCAGAGAGAGAGAGATTTGGCAAAGGAGGTGCGTTTGATGTTGAATCCAGGTGATTCTGATTTCTCTGGAGTAGTTTTACCCAGAGTGAATCACTAAGTGAAAGGTTATGGTGTTTAAACCTGCTGTATTATATTAGAATATAAAAAAAAAAAACATCCACTATCTTTACAAACCTGCAGTAAACAGTTTCTGCTCTTTAACTCCAGCTGCAGGGTCCTCGCAGACTTGCAGGAACTACTTTTCTTCCCTTTGGTCTCAGGGTCTGACACACTCCTAGAAATATTTTGGCTGTTGTCCGGTTGGCATGTCAACCAGCCGGAGGAGTCACAGAGTTTAATGAGTGTCTGTGTGTGTGTGTGAGTTTATGGGAGGAACAGAGCCTCAGTTTGAGCTGATTTCTCTTAAAAGATGGTAACAAGAGAAACGGATTGCAAGAAGGCTGCTAAACGTTTGAAAGCCCCTGCTGCGTGACAAAACAGCAGACTGTGCGCATTAGTCTGCGTAAAGGGAGCAGACAGCGTTAGAGAATCACCATGAAATCATTTTGTAGGCCTTTGTTTGGTTTGTTTAAGTAAATATTTATGTAAGTCAGCTTTTGTGCGTACACCTCATGCTTTTCATTACCTCGGCTCTGTGTTTTGCATCTCTTCTCTGTGTTTAAAAGTGATTGACCAGTCAGTTGATCAGTGCATCCCTACTGGTACTAACTGAAGTATGGGAAGTGTGCACCATTATCACCATTAGTATGATTGATGATTCTGGTTCGAGTCTGTCTGTTCATTATAAAGTTTGTTTCCTAAACCCTCACTTGCCTTTCTGCCTTTATGTTGTGATTTACGGCAGTCTCTGCCTGATCACACCCCAAAATGATGTAATGGTTGAAGGGAAAAAGGCCCGAAAGTTTGCCAAACGCAGGAAAAACTAACATCAGCAGAGAGTTCACAAATGAATCGCTCACTAGCTCTGACTTCACAAAAACACAAACTACAGCCTCAAACTTTATCAGTGTTTCCTGTTTTGTCCAACTGTATTTCAGTGAGCAGGGAGAAATTAAATGAGTTTTTTCCATCACTGTTTAAAGTAAAGCTGTGTGTGTGTTTGTTTGGGCAGCGGCAAGGGTGAGTCATGTGTGTCTGTTCATGGTTAGCAGCAGAAAGAGCAAGAGAGACGGTCAGAGACAAAGACACAGGGAAAGAAAACAGACTGAGGGATGATTTAAAAGACTGAGAAAGTGATCCAGAAAGACTGTCGTCTGGGTGAGTCTGTTGATTCCTAACCTGCAGAGCAACGACGTCTTCTGTATTTAAACCAGACGAACTTTGGCTCAATTTCAGGCTCCTCACTCGTCCTGGAGCTCCTGGAATATCTTTGAATCATTTAGACAGTTTAGGTTGCAGACAGATGAAGTCAGGGGAATTTTCCAAAATGTGTCCCGCTGGGAATTAAAAATTTAGCCTCAAAATGTGATTTCAGCAGATTCTTTGCTCTGGACGATTGTTCAGGGTGAAAACAACATTTAAAGGTGGGGCTGGGCGATATGGCCAAAAAATTTATCACGATAATTAGTTATCAGTTAAGTAATTAATCAGTTGAGTTCTTGATAATTATCACAATAAATCTCAAATCATTATTTCTTTCAAGTTTAAAAGCTGATTTTTGCTCCAAAGTGAAAGAAACCAGATAATTAATTATGGTTTTAATTTTTTCTTTGTGGTCCGAACATGACAAACTGTGATCGCTTCTGAAGTAGAACATTATAAACAATTATGATTTATGATTTTTTTATGTGTTAAATTAAGTAAAATCTTTTTTTCTTAATAAAACACTTAAGTGCTGATTTGTTTGTGAATCAGATGATTGTTATATTTACATTGATATAAATTATTGTGCAATAATTATTGTTTTATTGATCAGCCCTATTTAAAAAAAATGTTCTGTCAAATTTGAGCAAATATCTCCTCGCTAGCTGTTCGTTCAGCATGTGTGTGCTGACAATAAATCCTGTGTTTGTACTCAGCCCTGGCTCAAAGTGGCTCGCACCCCTCAACACAACACTATCCCAGCCATGAATTGTGTGTCAGGTAACATTAAATGATTAGCACTCGGACAGTCAGCCTTCTTATAAGTTCACCAAGACTGTTGTTAGCTATAGAGGCAGGAGAGTTGTCTCTGTATCGCTGCCTGGAGCTGCTGTCCGTCTCCTCTCTGCATGTTAGCTTCATGTTGGTTACATTATTGCTCTGATAGTTGTTCGCTCTATATCATGGTATCTGTCCTGGTTTTGGATTTAACAACTTTTAACAAACCACAAAAGGAGAAACTGTTAAGTTGAAGAAAGTACTTTTGGATCTAAGAAGCGTTTTGTGTCGGCTTCTTTTTTGTCTGATTGTAAAAGGCCTCTGCGTTCAGTGAGTCAGAAATCCTGTTTGTGTGTCGGGGCCAGCAGCCAGGTATCAGCTTTGTTTTCTAAACCAGACAAATGATTAGTTGCCGCTTTAATAGCTCTATAAATTAACACATTTAAAAACAACTTTAGTTGACTGAAGTGCTTTCCAAGCTCAGGATACACAAAACGAAGACAGTACAAAATACCATCACAGTCTCTCTCCTCTGGGCTGTAAAAGGATGTTTCTCTGTTTTACATCATCTCTATCTGTAGATATCTTCAGTTTTCTTTGAGGAGTTTGTTTTTATGTCAGATTTTGTTTCACACTAACAGCCAGTTGGAGAGTGTTATTTTGTTTGTTTACGTGTGTTTGCCCTGAGAGTTCAGCCAGGTTTGGTGTAGCTAATGTTGAATCAGGACGTGGTCTAAGGTCAGCCTCCAGTGTTGGTCTGGAGTACACCTGTTGGCAACAGATATAAAAGGCATCCTTTCTGACCGTAGTGAGCACTTTGGACGTGTCAGCTGCTGTTTGGGCCAAGCTTTTGTTCTTTGCCAGATTTATCTTCTAACGCTAAGGTACCCTGAAGCAAGTCATAGCTGTCTGAATGTGAAGCAAAGTGGAGCTCACAAGTTAAAAATAGAGTTAGGCAGACTGTGTCGAAATGGCCAAGAGGGCTAGAAAAACATGTGTGGAGAGTTAGACGAGGTGGCAGCAGTGGTGGAATAATGTTTTCATCTTTTCTCTCCCTCTCTCTCTACAGCCAGGGTCCACTGTCGTCCATCAGAGCAGTCATCAAGAGAAGTGAGTCCTCCTTCTTCTTTGTGTGTTTTTTCTATCCATCAAGAAAGAAAGAAAGAAAGAAAGAAAGAAAGAGAAAAAGAAGGGTTAAGAAGGAACCAGGTGGCTTTAGAAAAAAAAATCACCCTGTAATCACTGTGCAGATGAACTTGAGATCCAGTTGGCTGATTTCCAAAATGTAAAACCCCAGATATGGACTGAATTTTAGTATTAAAACGTTCAATAAATGAACTAACGTGATTAACACAATGTAAAGACGTATCAGCTCTGACGTTTTGTTGAACTCGTACGTGTGTTGTGTTGCAGACATATCTACTGAAGTTAGCATGCTAACAATCAAGCCCCGGCCCGTACTGTCTCACTCTACCACTTACAGAGTCTGATAAAATACCTCTTGTTGATTCAGATGGGAGATGTGTGTGAGCGGCAACATCGCGATGTTCACACAAGTCTAATAAATAAACAAAATTTAACCTATTGGCCTCAGGTGAAGATACCGACGATGGTCGTTCAGTCTTGGCCACCGGTAGTCTTAACGACTGTAACGACTGTCGTCACAGCAACAAGGAACACTAACGAACCAGCGGTATCGATGACCCGGGATAACGACCCCACTGAGGTTAAATAACTGAGTTTCCCTGCCAGTCAGTCAGAACTGAAGAAGTCCTTTGGATGAGGGACGAAACGTCTTCCAGTATCTTCAACCAAGTCCAGTTGCCCTTGATTTTAACCTTCGTTGGATATCGATACATGAACGTCTAGTATCGTTCTTTTATTATTTAAATTTATTTATAAATAAATAATATTTTTCAGTCCACTAGAACAAGAGTTTTCCTTTAGGGACACAAATTGTAGTATATCGCAATATATTTTAAATTGCAAGTATTGTAAAAATATCGTATCGTAGGGCTTACTGGGAGGTGCATAAAAAGTTATCAATCTGAGTGGCGTTATTAATGCTAAAGGTTGTAAAGGTTAATATGTTCCTGAGAGTGTCAGAGTCTAAACTGTAAGTGCAGAAGAAAGATGGTAATTTGTTTAACAGAACTTTGTGGAAAGCCACTTGGATTGTGACCTGGAAAATTGTGGCTTTTTAAAAAAGGAAAATATGCATTTTGACCTTTTTGTTGGGTAATAAAATCCAGCATGGCAAGGAAGGCAGCAACTCCCAAGACTGGACTGCCCCGCAGTGTACTGTTTAACCACTTGCACCCTCGTTCGTCCTTTTAGATTCCCCTCATGTAGCTTTAAAATACGAGAACAGTCTTTTTACAATGTACAACACATATTCTAAATCTACTTTTAAAAACCAACTTTTTTTTAAAGGCTGTGTGATTACATAAAACACAACAAAAATCCAGATGCATTGTGCTTAATTTATAGTTTCCCTCTTATTATTGTTTTCTATCTTGACTGGGGTTTGAATAAATCTCTGCTACAATGCATGCTTTTGCATTGATCTGTAGTTTTTACCCCTGAAAACCTGATCTAAATCCCCACAAGCTGTTGGACAACATCACACACTGTATATTCTGCAGCTGACCTGTTCCTGCTGTATGATTCTTAAATTTAATTATTCTTTTTATTAAGCTCATTTGATCAATATGTCTTTGTAATTAGAGAAACACCAGTGATTTAAAATACTCACTTCCTTGTTTAAAACGACGTGTTTCAGCAGTATGTCTTGCTTAACGGCGTGATCTTTCTATCTGTATTTAACGCTCTGTTTTCTCTCTCAGCCTCCGCCAGGCCAACATCTCTCTCTGAGGTGCCGCGAGACAGGGAGCGAGACAGGGAGCGAGACAGAGAGCGAGACAGAGAGCGAGACAGAGAGCGAGACAGAGAGCGAGACAGAGAGCGAGACAGAGAGCGAGACAGAGACAGGAGGTAAGACACTGTTGAACTGTCGTCACTAGATGATAGTAGTAAATTGAACCGTTTCATGAGGCTGAACCAGTGTGTCAAAGTCAAATTATGCTAAATTATCTTCTGAGTCAGACTCTCTGAATATCACAGCCTGTTTTGTCTCTTTTGATTAAACATCTTGTTGTTGTAAAATAACAGTCAGTTGGTGACAGTGCAGAGCAGATAGATTATTTTGTTGATGCTCTTTAATCTGTCAGATTAGGGGAAAAAAGATTTTCAGTAAACAGGCAGGTGTGGCGGTTTGTTTACAGTAAATAAGCTCCATGTGAAGAGTTTTCACTGGATTCACTGTGCAGAGCGGCGAATGTCAGTTGGAAAAACACACTTTCTAAGTGGAAAATTGAAATACGCATCTCAGCTTGTCAAAACATGAATTTCTCTGTTGGTGACTTCCTGTTATCTGGAACCAATGCCAGGCGACCAGAAATTACCATCCTGTCAGCGGAGCCTCTGGCCTCCACATCCTGGTTCCCCGGGGCCTCTGCAGGATTTCCACCTCCCCCTCCTCCTGCCGCACAGATCTGGGGACCCACAATCCCTCCGTCCATACAGGTAACTCCGTCTGTGTTTGTGATGAGATTTGTCGTCATCGTCATCGTCGTCGTCTTCTTCGTCTTCTTCTTCTTCTTTAATGGGAGATTGTTACCATGCGGATTATTTAGCCGCAATTGTCGCTGAAAAAATATCTGCCAGTTTGTTTTCTCCTTTGACTTCAATTCAGTTTAATTTAAAATGAAGAAAAATGGACATACTTTTACAACCACAACCGCTGCAGCTTCCATTTCAAAAATAGACAAAAACAAGCTGCTACTTTCTGTTTTTACTCGTTAGATAATTATCTCGACCCTTTAAAATGTCAGAAAATACTAATAATAGTTATTTCCCAGAGACCACGGTGATGTATTAAAATACTCTGTTTACAGTAAACACACACTTGAGAAGCTGGATAAGAAGAGATTCGGCATTTCTGCTTGAAAAAGTGACTCTTGTTTCTCGTCCTCAGCCTCCTCCTTCCTATGAGGAGGTGATCAGGGAGAAGACACAGGAGCAGGTTCTCCTTCCTCCTCCGTCCACTTCCTCCTCCTCTTCCTCTTCTTCCTCCTCCTCCTCTTCGTCACGTCCAGCTACTACAATAACCATTGCCACCCAGACTGACCCAGGATCTTCCCCCGACCCACAAGACTCACAGGGTGAGAGGGAGCTCAACATTTATTCTTTCACTTTTTTTTTTGTTAAAAAATATTTGTGAGTAAAATAAAAAAAAATTGTGTGCAGCGAAACGACCAGTGAAACCACCACGGCCGCCTCTCCCAAGCCCTCCCAAACCGTCTAACGTTGATGACCTCACTATCACGGCCAGCCAGTCAACACCCACCAACCTCGACAGTAACGGCGTTGTACCAAACAGTCACCCTGAGACGGTCACACACGACGCCGCTCAGACACAACTTTGTTCACCTTTGACCTCAACCTCCGGAGCTCAGACTGACCAGTGGGATCAGTCTTTTGCGGCCGTTGACGTGGCACCTCCTCCTGTCACTTCCTCTCACGTCCCGTTGGAGCGTCCCAAGCCACGACCCCGTTCCAGGCTCAGTGTACAGCCGATCAGCAACGAGGTCAAAGTTCAGACTTTGGTGAAACTGCGTGACGACGGTTTGGCCACGCTAGCTGCCCGCAGTGGATCTGACGCTGCTAACCAGGAGGTGAGTCAGGGGAAGTACCTGCAGGAGCTCCTCGAGGCCTTCAGCAGCGACGACTGGGGCTTTCCAGAACGCCGCAGCGACAGCAGTGAGCACAGCCAATCAGAGAGCGAGGACGGAGAGGACGAGGAGGACATGGCGACTCTGAAAGCGAGGATACAAGCCTTTGAGCAGCAGCAGCAGCAGCAGCAGGTGGCTGATGGGAGCTGTGGCGACAGCAGAGACCTTGTTGTCACAAAGAGACCTGAACCCCGGCCACGCCCTCGTCTCCAGGGGCAACCAGCTAAGTCTGTCCCTCCTATTGTCGCCCCGAAACCCAAAAACGTTTCACATTCCCCCAAACCATCCGGTAAGGCATTCTGGGAAGATGAAGGCGGGACAGCAGGAGCGGCAGACACAGGGAACATTGAGGCTTTGAAAACAACAGAAGCTCCTTCTACAGACTTAAACCCTCAAACTGCCACCGAGCCTGGTACCCCATGCCTCGCCTCTGCCTCGCCCCCTGTCCCGGCCCCCAGGCCCTCTCCGCCCAAACCTACCCCGTCTGTCAGTGAGACCCTTCCACCAGCCAACCCCAAACCTCCACCCAGACCTCCAATCGCCCCCAGGGCCAGCGTAGGAGCCCCGAACCCTGATAAGAGCACGGCTGCTGGGCGCACCACCCCACCTCTGCCCCCGAGACCCTCTGCGGAGGTCGGCAGTGGAGCGCAGACAGAGACTCAAGCTGGAAGAGAAGAGGCGCAGGACGCTGCAAACCAAACTGGTGAGTTTTATTCTTTAAAGGTGCAGTCTGTACTTGGCTCTCCAGGTTTGAAAATTGTTGGAAGCATTTGGGATACTGTAAGGACAAAACTCAACAAAATATATTACATGGGTCTAGTCATTTTCAGACCTTTTACTGTGGAAACATACTAAGATATCTGCAACCCCAGATTGTATCATACCAGTCCTGAAAACTGCAAAAGTAAAATTCCTGTTAAGCCCTTTGCTTAACCAAAAATAAACATATTAAAAAGGGATTTACACACAAGTGATTCACTTTAACTCATCCAGCACTGGTTCCTAATTTGCACAATACTGTTTCTGATCTAATGTTTGCTAAATGCTGAGGGATTTTATTATGAAAGGCCAGCGCTGCTCTGTTTGCAAGCTAACCCTGCTGCTAGCTACTACGTGAACACTAAAGCTTTATTTTGGGAGTTTTAATTGGAAGTGCTAGCATGATACAAACACCACTGAGCTGCTCACAAAAGAAATTTGCACGTGTTGCTGTTGTAGTTGTTTGAACTCACGTCAGAAACAATAACTGCGTCCCAATTCAAGACTGCAGCCTGAGTGTATACAGGATACTGTGTACTAATATTTATAGTGTACAGTTTTTTGCAGTTTAAATTCAAAAATATACAAAATAATCAACAGACTGTCAGGCGTGAGGCAAACTGCAACCACCTTCCACTTTTTTCCAGCTGTGAGCAGCTCCTCCGTTTCCTCGGTGTAAACAAGTTAGTCATCAACAACAACTGTTCGTTGTCACGACGACATTGGAAACCAAGAACACTTCAACTCGGAAGAGATTTCGCAAAGTTTCCCCTCTTTCATCCCCACAGATGTGTTTTTGTGTGGCAGGAAAATCCCGACTTTACTGCCTCCTGTAAACTGAGAAGGACTTACGTTCACATTTAAGACGTTGATGTCGTAAACAGAGTGACTCATAGTAAATGAGCAGGTGGAGGTTTAAAGTCTTGGCTGTTGACAGACATGCTGACTGTTACTGGGAAGAGTATCTTTTGGACTGATTCCACATGCGAAAGGTAACCATCATAGCTGGATCTGAACAGATTAACTGACAGAAAGTCAAATGGCAACAGCTTAGTTTGTTTCACATTCCTGCTTCTAAAATATCTATATTTACTTGTTTTCAAATTCTTCTGTGATGGTAAACTAAATATTTTCTTTGGCAGCAGTCACATTAATCTGTACCTGATGTTTTCTGGAACAAATTATTAATCGATTAGTCAAGGAAAATAATTAGTAGTTAATTGCAGCCCTGAACACATTACACATTACAGCATTTTACATGTAGAGGGTTGACATCTGATTTTCTATTAATCATAATATTTTAGTTGAGTGGCTCTTCACACCCGGCTGTTGAAAGACATGTTGGCCGTTGTGGGATTTGACCCTGTGATGCTTCACTTACAGGACAGTCCGTCAGTGTTTCTAGTTCCGAGTGTTTCTTGTTTCTGCGATGTAGCGCAGTGCTGACTGTGGACTGAACAGCCTATTAAATCAGTTAAAGATTATCAGCTGCTGCACTCCTGCCTCTCTGTTCAGATTGTTTCACAAATATTTACATGAGGTCTGAACGAAGCCTGCTGCTTCCTGCTTACACTGCTTATCTGCCAGATAACCCGAATGTGTAGCTGCTGCTGATAAACTTTAAGTTTATTTAGTGACTGAATTAGCAGTTTTTCTCTTAGAGTGGAGAGAGATTTCTTTTCAAATGTGTCCACTTTTCAAGATGCTAAAAAAACAGTTGTGGGCTTAAATTAGGGCATTTCACCATATATTTTGCAGCTGTAGATTTAGACTTCACTCGCATATTTCTAGCCTGCGAACAGACAAATAGCTAATAATGAATAATAAAAGTGAAATGCAAATTGAGTCTGATTATCAGGCTGGTTAATCTCTAAACTAACAGCCTTGGTTTGATCATTTCAGAAGTTGGTGTTATGAGCTCAACTGGCTCAATATTTGTATAAAGTTTCAAGTGTTTCGACACAAAGTGGTCGAACAGATTCACATGTGCTGAACGCATCATTTGAAAGATGAGATCTGGCCAGTGTCAAAAGTGTTGATGCTGACATTTGATATAGTCTCGCTGTTTACCCTAAAACCTCTCTGGGATTCACTGTGACGTCGGTGTTTCTGACGCTGAACAGAGTTTCATTGTAATCTGCGACTAAACAACAAGCGATGGGCTCACGCTCGAAGGAAAGGAAAGTGGTTGTTGGAAGCGACTCTTCCTTTCAGTATTTACTGATTAGAGAGAAGCTCCCTGACCTGGTGTCAGGCCCCTGAATTACCCACATCTCATGTTTGTTCAGGGATTCATGTGTAAAGATCTGGCCTGTTGTTGCATGTGGGAGAAACAGCTACAAATGTAGATGAGATCTACAGTCTGCTCACAGAACTAAATATAAATTTTCTTAAGTCAAGTTTTCTTTTTGTTGTTTCAGTGAAAGTAGGAAGTGGTCGTCCGGGCATCCCGAGCAAACCAGCAGCACTGACCTCACCACACAGAGCCAGCAGTAAGTGACTCTGTGTGTGTGTGTGTGTGTGTGTGTGTGTGTGTGCACTAAGCTGGATGTAGCTTTAGTACAATAGAGTGTTTGAGGGCTTAGAGACACAAATCTTGCTTGCTCATTATGTTGCAGAAATATGCAAACATGTGGAGAGGTTTTGTGTGTGTGTGTGTGCAACCTCATGAGAGCGCGCACGGGGGGGGGTTATATTATTCAATTCAAACCTTGTGAAAGAAAAATGCTGTGATTGTGCGAGAAGGGAAAAAAGCCTTCACTGTTGTTAGTGCTGTGTGAGTTTGTCACAATGTGTGTGTGTGTGTGTGTTTTTATTGGTCAGCTTGACAGAGACTTCCCATTATACAGCTAGCCAGGCTTTATTGGCTGCTACATGAATTTGTGTCAACCAGGAAGCCTGTTACGAGTGTGTTTTTGGTTTTGTTCTGGTTTATATATTCCACAGCCCCTAACCCTAAACAATACTTTTCCAGTCAGCACACTCGGTTGGTATACCGAGAGGCAGTCTGTATCTGTGTGTCAGGATAATGTCTCTGAACAAAAGTATTTGTATTTCTCCTATAACCCACATAGTTATTTGTTTTGATCCTATGTAAGTAGCTAGTAGTGGTATATGGTAGGGGAGATAAAAGCCCTGATGTGTGTTTTTATATTATCCAGATGTTTGATTTATTTGTAGTCTAATATTTATTTCAGTCGTGAAACCCCCAGTACTCTCTGAACACTTCATTGTTCACTGTGTGCCTACAGCTGAACGCACACTCGCTGTACAAAAACACAGAGGTGTTTCTGTTTGCCTAAAATGGTTAGAGGGTGCTAAATATAAGTCGGTCTGCATCTTTACATACTTTGTCAATTAATTAATTGGTGTCGGACGTCATTAAATGCGTGTTGATAAAAAGATGACAGTTATTGTGAAATGAAACGTGGCCATGTTTTTGTTTTGTATTTTATTTTATGGTTCACACATTCAAACTGCTCATTATTCAGATCAGAAGCTAAAGTGAGGCAACAGCAGTAACAGAAAGGAACATTTTTATATAGTAATGGTTACAAAACTAGTTAAATAAACATCTGCTCTCCGTTTTCAGCTCCACACCTGGCCCCCAAACCCACCGGAGCCCCACCAGCACCTCCAGATCCAAACCCAGTTCTACCCAAACCTACAGCTGCATCCCCACCCATAGCACCCAAACCTTCAGGACCGGCCCCGGTTCCGACCCCAGGGCTCAAACCCCCAACCCCGTCTCCAGCTCCGGCCCTGAGGAAAGGCCCCGTGATCCTGACCAAACCGGAAACTACCAGCCCTGCAAACCCAAACTCCTCAGACCCTTCTCTCCCTCCACGGTAAGAAAGAGATTAGTGATAATCCGGCGGGGCGGGGGTGAACCGTGAAATATGACTCCACTGTCCCAAACAAGTGGCAGTTAATTAAACTGGAATTATGCTCCTCAGTTTTGGGTCAAATGTCAGTTTTTCCAGACTGATGTTGCTGCTGAACAACGAGAATGTGCTCTGGCTCTGATACACAGAGACGTGCACCAACAGCAATGATAGAAGTGAAATATAAAATATGAGTTTATTATATATTGAGACTTTTTTTGTTTGTGTCGTTACATTTGGCTGCATACAGGGTAGTCTGATTATCGTAATCAAGCAGTACATTTACACTAATGTCATAATGTAATCCTATTTATACTGTTCATTTCACTGTCATCTGAACATTTTAAAATCTTAACCAATTTTAAAAACACACAGACTTTCAGAAGGCACACACCAGACGATTCAGTCAAGATGCAGGACCAGACACTCGGGTGTATTTCAGAGTGGTGGTTCTGGGGATTTAGGATCTCACAGACATAAACAAACACTGAGGCAGACAGTTGGTTGCGCTTGTGTGTGTGTGTGTGTGTGTGTGTGTGTGTGCGCACAGAAAAACAATAACAGAATAAAACTGGATGAAGAGGGAGTTAGCAGGTTTATACATTATATAGTGCACACAAGTATAAACTATGTTGGAGACGCTTTCTGGTCAGCTCGCTCTCCTCGGCTGTTGCTGGTTTATGATTGGAGGCAACACAATTATCCTCAGGTGTTTGGCCAGCATTAAGCAGGTTATCTGAGACATTATCTTTAATGTTGAAGTCACCGTTAATGAATTCACCTGTCTCGTCATCCATATTCCTTTCCAGGCCTTCAAGTGTGAAGCCCCTGCCTTTCCGTCCTCCACCAATCAAGTCCATCCCGGGGCGGCCACCTCCTCCAGCCATCAACTCAATTTCCACGGCCAACCAGAAGACGCCTCCTTCTGCCAAAACAAGCCCCGCCTCCTCCGTTTCCCCGGCCAGCCGGTCTTCGCCTTCGCAAACCAGGTCATGCCCTTCTCCTGTATCAGCCAGTCAGGTGCAGTCTCAAAAGGCACTTAAGAGGGGACCACCTCTGCCCCCCCGCCCTAAACCTGGACACCCTCTCTATAACAGCTACGTGGTATGGACACACAATTGCACACTCACTCTCTCACAAAAACATTCAAACATAGATTTGAGCTCTGACGTGTCATTTCTTAATTTTGTCTCAGAAACAGGAAGTCCTCATCGTTCTGGATGACCCGAGCCCCTCAGAACCTCTATCAGGTGAAGGGAGGAGTCAAACCGCCGTCACCCCACTCATCAAACCCTCAGAGTGTCTCCTGGACCTGGACACCCAACCAGAGCCTGCTCCCGATCAGGACAGCCAATCAAAACTTCCCTGGGAGGGCCTCAACCTATTAGACTCCCAGGTACTGAAACAGCTCACTAAACATGTCGCTCAGTCCAAAAACCATAGCTAACCGGTGCAAAACGTCTGTTTTTAAAGCCTTTAAATGTTGAAACTATATAATTACTTTATATTATTCTCATCCTGATGAATAAATCTCTAAAAGGTGGGCCGTGTGCCTTTTAAATATTTATAAATGATCTCAAATAGGGCTGCGTACTAAACCAAAATATATCTGTAACACTGAGCATCAAAAGCCATCATGGAGTGAAAGCTGCCATCATTGATCGGGGCCAGATTCATAACATTTTACTTATTCTTTGATCAGAGTTTGATCAAGTTTGCCCATTTTAGACGGATTTATGTGTGTTTAGAAATATTTAACATTTGAGAACTTTGTAGAAAAACATGTTTATATTTCGTAAAGAGTAATTTAACACCTCGTGATAATCTTGTTTTTGTGGGTTAACTTCTCACCCAGCTGCAGTGATGTCACGGTGTACTCTGGGACACTGGGACATCACTGTACAGGTAAAACTTTCTGACTACAACTAAATTTTGGTCAGTGTTACATCACTCTTTAAAGAAAGGTATTGAAAAAAGTGTCTCAAAATACTAAATCATAGCTAGCTATTTCCTTTAACTGCTCTGACTGTGTCTCCCACAGGTAAACTTTTGTATCTGTCAGGATTTAATAGTTTTGTTTTCCTTTTTGTTTTCATTTAGTCCATTCTGCCTGTGCAGCCAACAGAGCAGAAAGAACAGCCAGACCCTCCTCCTGTCAGGTCAGACACACATGATGAACTACACGCCAGACTTGTAACTAAACAGGAACTATTTATAGACCAGACTTGTTTATCCTGTGTTTCATTTTGTCTTGGGGGTGTGTGTGTGTGTGTGTGTGTGTGTGTGTGCGCGCAGTGGTCCTCGGTGCGTCGCCTTGTTTGATTACGAAGGAGAGGAGGATGACGAGCTCACCTTCTCCCAGGGTGATGTCATCGCCCTCCTGGCACTCATTGGGCAGGAGTGGGGGCGGGGCCAGATCCACGGGCGAATCGGGATATTCCCCCTGAGTTTCACTGAGGTGGTGGAGCCGCCCCCACAGCCGGAGTCGTCACCGGGGGAAACGGCAAAACCAGCATCAACAGAAACCACGAAGACAGAAACTACCGGTGAGCTTTTCTGACAACCTTCCTTCTTACCTTGATTGATTGATTATATTTGATGGTTAAAAATACTCAATACAAAAAAGTCTAATGGCTTTTTTTTGTAGTCGTCCAACATCAGAATCAGCTTCATTGGCCAAGTATGTCACACATACAAGGTTTAAGTTGCTCTCAATGTAGAAGTAGACAAACATCTGAAAACAAGGACAACAAAGCTGAACAAAGATACGTAAACAAAGAAGTGTTACGTACAAGTAGGTGAAAAATAGCTGTATGTATTTAAGAAGCAACAATGACCAACGACATGCAATGTCTGCAGGTGCAGAAGAAAATGTGAATATTGTGGAAACCAGACAGAGATTAAAGCTCAGGAAACCTTTGCAAGTGTTTTGAGTTAATCCCCGATAGAGCTAGACATTTCTTTATCATAAATTCTTTATTCCAAAATTACAGTATATTTTGAGATGCTGGAGTTTTGATTACTGTGAGCTGTAGGCCGTAATCATCCATATTAAAACAAAACAAGGCTCGAAATACTTCACTATATATATATATAATATGAAAGTTTCACTTTTTGACTTAAATTACAGGGGAAAAAATGAACTTTTCCTCAATGTACTTGTAAACGATGTAAACAAATAGTGTAAAGAAATAGATCTTAAATGGGTTAAGTACCAGATTTCTTTATTTACATGAAGTGGGTGGTTACATGCAGATAAATACAACAACCATCACAATGAAACAAGAAAAATGTGACTAAGTTCAAGCTTTCTTCAAAATATATCCGAGGCTTCAAATTGCTGAGAATCCTGCTGTTCAAGGACACACTTGGTGTTGCTCTCCAACATGATCGACTCTAAACTTGTAGCAACAATATATCTTTGTATTGCAGCAGCAGCAGGATAAAGAAACATCAAACTCTAGAAACTAAACTTGTTGAACGACATCTTTTGGAAAAGCTGAGCGTCCTTAAACAGTGAAAAGTTGACTAAATACACCGACACAGCGGGTCTTTGCTTCCTACAACCCTTTTACCTTTCCTTGCCGTATACAAAGCTTTCAGTCTTTCTCCCTTACGTGTCTTTCTACCAACACATTTCTGATGATAAAAGAAAGCCTCTGCATACAGAAACTTTACAGCAGATTGATACATTTTTTGTCGTCTTTAGATTTGAATGTGATGATAGATTTTTGTTTTTTGTCCTCAACAGCACCAAAGACACCACAGCACCCAGAGTCAGAGGTGAGTGTGTGTGAACATTACTGTTGAACATTACTGTTGAACATTTTCCTACTTCTATAATATACTGTAAATCATTTTAATATATATTAACGTGTGTGTGTGTGTGTGTGTGCAGGCAAAGGAGTGGGCTGTGGCTGTGTTCGACTTCCCCGGTCAGACCGCAGAGGATCTGTGCTTCCACAAGGGGGCGCTGATTCAAGTGACGGAGCACATCGATGCTGAGTGGAGGAGAGGAAGACTGGAGGGGAGGGAGGGGATTTACCCTGCAGCCTTCACACAGTCCTGCCAGGGTACAACACACACACACACACTCCAGAAATACACACTCTAAAATACATCAGAAGAAAACGCAAGTATCAAGTATAAAATTCACACATTTAAATACTTGTAATAAAACACACATGTTTGTGAAATCACCAAGAACACACAGACTCACATGAAAGCACATAGCCTCACAATGTCTCACACACACACCACATGTGAATGTTTGTCCACAGTATTTCCAAACTCTCCTGCTGGTTTGTTTAGTACTCCTCGTTGTCCCAGGTGGGTGGAGTTTACCAAAACACAGGATGATGCAGCAGGGTCACACAGTTAAGCCAGGACAGATAATCTGTTGCTGTCTGTGTCTCACCTGAGAACGTCTGGCTGATTGTGACGACTAAACTCCACCCGTCTAGTTGATCCTGGGACATCCTGGTGGATGTGTGCAGTGGCTGCTGAGGCCTTTAACCACAACTTGTTCTTCCTGTTTCCAGCTCAGCCAATCCCAGGCGAGCAGTCAGCCGTTAAAGGAGTGGCCAAGTTTGATTTCACACCAGAGAGCGAGGATGAGCTCATGCTAAAGGTGTGTGTGTGTGTGTGCGTGTGTGTGTCATGAGTAAATATCTTCTGTCTTGTGTGACGGCAGTTTTGCACAGATTTCCATTAACCAAAATGAAACACGTCTTCTCTCTTTGTGTCTCTCTGTCCTCCTCTTGCAGGTCGGTGATATTATAACGCAGGTGGAATCTGTGGACGAGCAGTGGATTATGGGACTTGTGGGCGGGAAGCGTGGGATTGTGCCTAAAAACTACATTTCCCTTCTCTGATGAGGAAATCAGCCAATAGGAAACGCTCGATGTCTTTCTTTCGCCTTGTGCTGCTTCTCTCTGTAAAAAGGTGTGTTTGTTTTGAACTGGCAGCCTCCTCCTTCCGCGGCCTGTCAACGCTACAGACAGTTTTTCCTGTGGGCTGCTTTTGATAGTGGAGTGCTGCGTACACGTGGACACGTGTGAATTCTGGTCCACAGTTTCCAAAAACTTTCAGGCAGTTTTTAATGAAACAAAAGCAGCCTGGTCTGTTTTTATTGGTACTTCGGTTACTAAATTGGAGAGACGGGAACTCTGAGGTGTGATTGGACCGTCAGTTTGATTGACAACCTCGCTCTGGCACCTCTCGCTCTGCTCACTACTGGCATTAAGACCAAGAGAGGGAGGGGCTTTCGCTGCCTAAATGATGGAGTAAAACGGATATCACGCTGTTGGTTTTCATCTCGACGTCGTGCTCGAGTTATTTTCAACCTGGACTGGATTTGATTATCTGTTAGTGACTGACCGGCCAGTGGACCCTGGTGCTCCTGAAGCTCAACAGTTTTAGCCCCGCACTAGTGCAAATGGTTAAAAATTATCCGCATGATGGGAAATTCTGGAGAAAATATAATGTAGGTTGGATGCGGCTGGTTTGAAGAGTCGCTGTTAGAGGACTTTTCCTCTTTGAGTCTGATCACAGATGTTTAACAAAGACTGATTAAAAGTGTTATCATGTGTCTGTGGACACATTTTTTAAAATCAGGCTCACTTACAGTATTCAAACTAGAAAGTCTCAACTCAGCAGATTTATAGAGGAGGACCTCTCAGTTAAATCTACATTTATTTTAAACACAGTGTACCACGAAGAACATTATTCTCATCCTGAGCCAGAGGAGATTAGAAAACTGAATAATGTGGAGCTCTAAGCTGATTGGCTGCTGGGCTTTAACAGCTCTGAGCTGGAGGCAGAAGCCTCCTGAGGGTGAACACCAGCTTTGGTTTGTGTTTTTCCTAAACACTAAATGTTTCTAACTTGGCACTTAACACTCGGCGATCTGAGGGTCAAAAAAATGACACTTTCGAGACTGGAAATTATAGGACGTTGTCAGTTTAGTTGACATGAACTGTCAGAATGTTTTGTGACACTGTGGGTACCTAAAGCTATTTATAAGTGCTTAGAAAAGTTTTTTTGTTGCACATGTTTTCGCAGATAAAATCTTACAGAAAGCTCCTTTTATAATGTTTTACATTCCCTAAGCTTTAAAGCTAAACTGGATAATTTTACATAAAGCACACTAAGCCTGATTTGTCTGTTATTTAGAAATTGATTATACATCACTGCTGATCCTTTTGTTTTCATCTATCCTGCCAGCCTGATGAATGCAAATGAGCCTGAAAGGTTTGGTGAATGTAGCATGGTGTGCTGGAGAAGAGTTGCACAACATGTTTTAATGATCTTGAGCATTTTTGGAAAAGGGTTAGCAGCGAAGTTCACATGATTTGTATTTAACGTAATGCAAATAAAACTTGACACTAAGAGCCAGCAGCTCAATAAAATCACACATAAAATAATAATTAAAATCATGGTCGCACACTTTAACGTGGTACGGTGGATTATGAACATTAAAAAATCACCTTTGGGATGTAAAGATATCATAAAACATGTTTATACTTTATAACAGTTCAACAGAAATGCTGAAAGTTGAGACATTAAGGAAGTAAAACGATATTTCACGCCCACATTGGTTCATGTTGGATCTCCTGCAGCTGAGCAGCTTTGTAAAGCAGCATGCTGAACTGTACCAAATATAGAAAGTCTGTTATCGTACTGAACCTTTTGTCATCACGGTGCAATGCTCCAGCTGTAGTACTTCCAGCTTTTCTCAGTATGTTTCATATTTCCAGACTGAATATTCATCTCATACTCATGAACTAAAACTCATATGTTTTTTATTAAAGGTAAAACATGAAGGATTTTCTCTAAATGTGCTGTCAGCAAATTAGCAGCGATGATGATTAATTCCTCTTCTGAAATTAAATGTTGTAGTTGCTAATCAAACCTGTGACTTTTAGGAAACATGACAACATCTCATTCCTGCCACTTCCTGTTCATTGGTCTAATTTTAAATGTGCTCAGATTAAAACTTAACTGAGTTACTTTTTAGATAAAGCTCTTTTTTCACTAATTATTCATTGAGTTTTCAATATAAAGACATATTTAAAATGCAGATGAATGATTGGTTGACTATTCCTTGTCCACTTCTTGTGGAACGGGTACAAAAGTCTGTTCTTCTTTAAATAGCTGAAACAGAAGCATTCTCTACAGTAACCTTTCCTGTTCACTGCTAGTTTATTTTACGAATGGTGTTTATGTTGCTCACAGCCATTACACAACTGTCAGAGTCGATAAAATGTAATTAGATGTCAACTCAAAATGCCAGCAATACCATTATTGTGATTGTCAATGATTTTCTCGATTGATTGACAGTTGTTTGGTCAATATCATCATCCCAAAACCCAAGACGACGTCCTCAACCATCTTGTTTTGTCCACAACCCAGAGATTCAGTTCACTGTCTTAAGGTGATGATACACGGAGCAACTTTTAGAGCAATGGTACTGGGCAATGTTGCTGTCAATGGTAATGAGTAACGATTACTACTCCTGCCACTCCACCACCCTGCCCGCACCGCCGCTCTGCGTTCAAAACATAGTCGGACTTGCCACTAGCAAGATTGTTCAGCAACATTGCTCAAAAAGTTTCCCCGTGTATCATCAGCTTTAGAGGAGGGAAGAAAACAAAAAATATTCACACTTGCTGGGATCCAAAAATGTTTTCCATTAAAAATCTAATTGATATATTTTCAAAATAGTGGACAATACATTTAATAGCTGACAACTAATGGATTAATCGTTTGAGCTTTAATCTGCTGTAAAAAGTAACAAATGAAGCAACAATTTGACAGTCATGAATGAAGTTAGGGGAAATGTTCGCACTATATATTTAATAAACTATTAGTGACAGAAAATGTTGATGGGAGTAAACGTTCACTATTTTCTGCAGTTTGCAGACGCTGCATTCAGCCAGCAGTTAAAATGATTCTCACTAGACAATCACGCAGGTGGAGTAAAGAGAGAACAGTTTAGGTAACGGTCAGTATTTTTATGTCGTTGGAAAAACGTTTTTCAGCGTCAATATTTCTGTTGTTGTGAGTCGTAGCATCCAAGGTTGGAGCAAGGTGGATTTTTCATTTCTAATTTGAAGACACAATGGATCGTTTGCAGGCGTCATCACGACTAATTTGGTGGCAACTCGTCAAAGAGAAAATTTCACATGGTGCATCTTTAATTGGACTATTTGTGGACACGTAATGACTGTAACACTACTTTGTGTGTGTGTGAGGGAGAAAGACACACGAGGAAAGAGATTCATGAACTGCTTTGTAAGAGATATTTTGTGTATAATCAAACATTCCAACTTTTTAATACAAATAAAACTTTCAGACAACAACAGTTTAATTTTCTTCTTTCTTTTCAGATTAATTGTTGCTCCATTTCCTCAGAAGTTTTAGGAGCGTTATCTTTTATTGACTCCTCCTGTTAACAGGAGCTCCCACAAAAAGCTTCCTGAGCAGCAGAGTGATGTAAGGACAATATTTTTACCCTGAGCCTGAACTCTCAGGTTCCTCCTCCTACATACGTTAGACTCCGTCTCCAATCTGTCTGTATAAAATAACCATCAGGAGAATCATTTGATTAGTGGAGTTAGTTACCAAGATACTACTTTCCACTTTATGGACCTGTGATTCTCTGTAAGAAATAATTAGCTATAAGCTACAGTTTGATGTTCAGGTGACAATGTTTAATCAAAAAATACTTAATAACATTAATAGACAGTTGAAGATTGGTGACTGCTAAAATTGGTATTTCTTAGTATTTGATTTATATTTTTTCATGCTTCAATATTTTGTGGTCTGTTGTGAAATGCTGCAATCATTGAGCATTTCTGCAACTTATATTATAAGTTGAAGATTAAAAGAATGAGACACATAGTCTCTATGAATTTAGAAAATCACAGACACAAATGTGTTACATTTCACAAATTCATCATAATTAAGCTTTGGGAGAGTGTTGCATTTTCAGAAAACATCCTTTAGTTGCAGTGCATATCAAATGTATACAATAACAGATAAAATGTTCTTTTAAACTAAACTTCTAAATATTAATCAATCAATAATCAAACTTTTCTCATTGCCTCTCTATTATGTCTGTCTACCAACAGAGCAGTGCCTTAAAACAATAACTTGTTAATTCAAAGACTGAGTGAACTAAGAGTTACGCTCGACTTCCTGTCAGATGAGACATAATTTGAAACGCATTTATACACATTATGTATTAGATAAAAACCCAATAATCACAACGGTCAAATCACTTAAACTGTCCCTGTAAAGCTGTTAATGTGCCCACTAGTGAACTACGTCTACATTAATGTCCCACAGAAGTTACAGTACATGTCTTTGATGCTAACCTCTGATCAGCCTCTTTAATCACTACTTGAGTTTACACAACTCAGCAGTGTCTCCATTAAAACCACCAAGAAACAGTCCAGCATAGAGCGGCTGAGTGAATGTGGTCTGGACTCTGTGGAGGAGAGTCATGGTTTCAGTGACGCTGTAGAAAGACAGAAGACCTGCACTGTGATCCAGGTACACGCCTATTCTGGAGGATTTAGGACCTGAGATGCCAGTTGAAAGGTTGTTGTGGCTGAAGCTATAACTACTGCCACAATTTAATACCCAAGACTTCTCATTGTATCCAAATACATGTGCATTGAAGTCCCCTGATCTGCCAATACTCTTATAAGCGACTGCTACTGCAGCATTCCTGCTCATCTCCACCTCCCAGTAACACCGTCCAGTCAGTCCATCTTTACTCAAGACCTGAGATATGTTAATGAATCTGTCTGGATGTTGAGAATATGCTGAATTATTTACATCAAATTTTATTTTTCTGTTCCCCTCTGATAAAACCAGAAATCCGTTTGCTGTGTTTGGATCCAGCGTGATGTGACATGCATATTGTAAGAAATGAACTCTAAACATGGGCTCTGCAAGGAAGGCCTGTATTTTATCTCTGGCTGCCGTCACAGCTGCCATCACATCCTCAAAGTACCGCAGACGGTTGGTTTTTGGTCTCGGTGAGTCTGTAGACTCAGTAAGTTGTGACAGTGAGGGGTAACTGTGGAGAAACTGGGTGTGGTCCTCTGTGTGCTCCAGCTGCTCCAGCTCAGCGTCTTTCCTCTTCAGCTCAGAGATCTCCTCCTGAAGCTCCTCCTGAAGCTCTTTGGCCCGACTCGCTTCAGTTTCCTGCAGGGATCTGATCTGCTGCTTCACATCAGAGCTTCTTTTCTCGATCACACGGATCAACTCAGTAAAAATCTTCTGATTGTCCTCCACTGCTTTATCAGCGGAGCGATCGATCGTCTCCACCTCCTGCTGAAGCTCCTTCACGTCTTTCTCTCGGTGCTGGATTCTTCGCTGAAGTTTTTGCCGTCTTTTCCTGAGCTCCTCCTGCTTCTCTGTCCTTTCTGCTGCAGCAGAGATCATGTCGTGGCCTCTGTGTTCTTCCATTGAGCAGAGATAACAGATACACTGCTGATCAGTGCGGCAGAAGATCTTCATCACCTCGTCATGATGAGAGCAGATGGTGTCCTGAAGTTTAACAGAAGCCTCGACGAGTTTGTGTTTTTTAAAAGTGGGAGATTCATAGTGAGGCTGAAGGTGCTGCTCACAGTAAGAAGCCAGACAAACCAGACAGGACGTGAGGGCTTTCAGCTTCCTCCCAGTGCAGACATCACAGGCCACATCTCCAGGACCAGCATAGCAGTGATCAGCTGGAGCATCTTGGGGTCCAGTCTTCTTCAGTTCCTCCACTAACTCTGCCAACAAGGTGTTTTTCACCAGGACAGGCCTCGGTTTGAACGTCTGGCGGCACTGAGGGCAGCTGTGGCTTTTCTTATGATCTTCCTCATCCCAGAAGCTTTTAATGCAGCTCATGCAGTAGTTGTGTCCACAGGGAATAGTCACCGGATCCTTCAGCAGATCCAGACAGATTGGACAGCAGAACTTTGCCTGATTTCCTTGCTGCGGCATTTCACCGCTCTGTAACAGGGAATGTCTGAAGAGTTTCACTTTCCTCACAGCAAATACAAGAGTCACGCAGGAAGCCAAACCTTCTTTACTTTCACATTTGCTGATCTTTAGTCATGTGACTTGTGTCTCTTGCAGTATACAGTAGTTTACAGCATGTTGGTCACACCCATCTCTGAACAGGCATATCTGGGAAAGGGGCGGGAACCAGGAAATATACAGCCAGAGTTGGACTCTGTTATCACCAGTCATCAGTTACAGCCCTGACTGCATTTATAGCCTTCCTTTACTTGTGCTTGGTCCTGGGCTCTGCTTTTAGAAGTAAAACATCCACCTCAGTCTCTTTTAGAGGTTTTGCTTTCTGAACAGTTGAACAGTAAAGAAATAAGGAAAAATAAAAGAAGCAAGAAATGGAAACACATTCACCAAGGAAAACAGACAAAAGAAAAATAGGAGAGGAAGAAGAAAATTAAATGAAGATGATATTTCCGATACGTAATGAGCGCTCTCTAATGTAGAGGGGAAAATATGAATCTGCAGAGTAACCAGTTACTCTCGCTCAGTTAAATGTACTGGATAATTTGGAAGTACCAGAACTTACAAATGACATTTGAGTAAATGTAGTCTGCAGTTCTGTGCAAAAGTTTAGCCAGTTGTGGGGGAAAATGTTGTAAAGAAAGAAGGCTTTAAACATAAAATAAAAACATTTAAAAAGATTATATTAAATAATTAAGAAAATACAAAGTGAATGACCACAAGAAAGAATTTATCATATCAATAGTTGGTGTGAGCACTTTGCCCTCAAAATAGCATAGTGTTTGATTAAACAATTATGCAAAACAGGTGCTAATGATAATAAATGAAATAGGTTGAAACGCAATCATTAACTGAAACAGAAACAGCTGTGTTGGAGGAATACAACTGGGTGAGGACCAGCCAAACTCTGCTTGCTGAAAACAGTTTGTCAAAAGTCATTCACCACGGCAAGACTGAGCACAGCCACAAGACACAAGGTAGTTATACTGCATCAGCAAGGTCTCTCCAAGGCAGAAATTTCAAGGCAGACATGAGTTTCCAGATTTGCTGTCCAAGCTCTTTTGTGGAAGCACAAAGAAACGGGCAACGTTGAGGATTGTAGATTCAGTGGTCGGCTATAGAAACTTATCTGCAAGCAGATGAAAGACTCATCATGTTTACTTCGCTCCTCAGGATCGGAAGATGTCCAGCAGTGCCATCAGCTCAGAGCTGCAGAAAACAGTAGGACCCTGGTACACCATCTACAGTATTCATTTCATTTAGCTGACACTTTTTTCCAAATCGACTTATAATTCCTATATATATATAGCAATTATAAGTTGATATGTGTCAGGTTGCACGCCTCTGAAGCAAGTAGGGGTTAAGTGTCTTGCTCAGGGACACATTGGTGGATGTGTCACAGTGGGGAATTGAACCCGCGTCGCTCACACCAAAGGCATTTGTCCTATCCCCTGCACTGTCTCCACCTCACTGTCTGGAGAAGTCTGGTCAGGATCGGACTTCATGGAAGACTTGTGGCCAAAAGGCCAAACCTCCATCATGGAAACAAGACCGACCAACTCAACTATGCATAGAAAAACGGGACCTTGGGTACAGAAAAATGGCAGCAGGTCCTCCGTACTGATGAGACAGAATTTGAAATATTTAGCTGCAGAAGAAGGCAGTTTGTTCACCGAAGGAGAGCGGTACAAGAATGAGTGTCTGCAGGGAACAGTGAAGCATCGAGAAGGTTCCTTGCAAGTTTGGGGCTGCATTTCTGCACACGGAGTTTGAGATTGGATCAGAATGAATGGTCTCCTCAATGCTGAGAAGGACGGGCAGATACTTATCGATCACGTAGTACCATCAGGCAGGCACCTGATAAGCCCCAAATTTATTCTGCAGCATGACAACGATGCCAAACATACAGCGAAAGTCATTGAGGACAATCTTCAGTGCGATGAAGAACAAGGAGTCCTGGGAGTGATGGTATGGCCCCCACAGAGCCCAGATCTCAACATCATAGTCTGTCTGGGATTACATAAAATGAGAGCAACAACTGAGGCTGCCTAAATCCTCTGAAGAACTGTGGGTAGTTTCCCAAAAATTTGCCCAACATACTTGCAGAGTTCCTTCAAAAACTATGTGCAAGAGTACCGAGAAGAACTGATGCTGTTTTGAAGGCAAAGGTTAGTCACACCAAATATTGATTTGTTTTACATTTTTCTTCTGCTCACTCACTTTGCATTTTATTAATTGATAAATAAAATCTATCAACATGTCTATTATTGAAAGCTTCCTTACTTTTTTAACACACCTGCCTGAAACCTTTCCACAGTACCGAACATTACTTTTCTCTGTAACTCACAGAGGAAAAGCTTTCATCATCTCAACGTTGACCCAGTAGTTTCTGTGCACTGTTCTGTGCTTCTTCTGCTGTAAATGTCAGAATCACACTCTGACCGCGATAGTCAATCCTGTTCTGAATGTTTAACGTAATATAATAAACTAAACATTGAATAACCTATCATGTAGGTAAACTTGATCATCATGGGAGGAAGAAGACAGTAACTCAGACACAGCAGGGTAACATCATGCCTCTGCATCAGTTTTATTTCACAGTATAATTCATCTTTTCTCGATACAAATCAGTGTTTTTCTTTGTGCCGGATGCCTACACCCTGTTTCATTTCAACACACGTCACATTAGATTAGATTAGCAAACTACATTAATCCCAGATGGGGAAACTCAATGACAGACCATTGTTTGCTTTAAGACTTTATTGTCCACAAAAGGTCAAACAGCTGAGTTTTAATTTAGATTTATAAATTCTCAAAGGTCATCTTTACTTTATTTTCCAAGTAGAACTTAGAGAAATGTCGAGCTTTTGAGCTGTATAAGAAATACCACTTTTTCACACAGCTAATGTCAAAATCCTTTTTAGCTACCAGGTTCAAGGTTCAGTTTGGTCTTTCCAGAGAAACTGTCTTCTAAATGAAAACATTTTAGAATCTTTGTACTAAAAAGGTTTATATATCTGTTATAAAATGATTCAGCATGAATCCTCAACCTAAAAACTTAATTTCTGAGCTGACTGAACTGAACATAAAACAATGTCAGAGATTCCTTTTAGAAAAAACTCACATTTTGGTTAAAAATCCTAATTTGATGTATATATGAGTCATGATTTGAAATAGAAACAGCCACTAGCGTCAAATCACTTAAACTGTCCCTGTAAAGCTAAACTTTGCCCACTAGTGAACTATGTCTGCAATTATGTCCCACAGAAGTTACAGTACATGTCTTTGATGCTAACCTCTGATCAGCCTCTTTAATCACTACTTGAGTTTACACAACTCAGCAGTGTCTCCATTAAAACCACCAAGAAACAGTCCAGCATAGAGCGGCTGAGTGAATGTGGTCTGGACTCTGTGGAGGAGAGTCATGGTTTCAGTGACGCTGTAGAAAGACAGAAGACCTGCACTGTGATCCAGGTACACGCCTATTCTGGAGGATTTAGGACCTGAGATGCCAGTTGAAAGGTTGTCATGTATGAATTTATAGATACTGCCACAATTTAATACCCAAGACTTCTCATTGTATCCAAATACATGTGCATTGAAGTCCCCTGATCTGCCAATACTCTTATAAGCGACTGCTACTGCAGTATTCCTGCTCATCTCCACCTCCCAGTAACACCGTCCAGTCAGTCCATCTTTACTCAAGACCTGAGATATGTGAATGAATCTGTCTGGATGTTGAGAATATGCTAAATTATTTACATCAAATTTAATTTTTCTGTTCCCCTCTGATAAAACCAGATATTTGTGTGCTGTGTTTGGATCCAGCGTGATGTGACATGCATATTTTAATAAGTCAGCTCTGGTTGTGGTCTCCACTAAAAACCATGTCTCAGTCAAAAAGGCCTGTATTTTATCTCTGGCTGCCGTCACAGCTGCCATCACATCCTCAAAGTACCGCAGACGGTTGGTTTTTGGTCTCGGTGAGTCTGTAGACTCAGTAAGTTGTGACAGTGAGGGGTAACTGTGGAGAAACTGGGTGTGGTCCTCTGTGTGCTCCAGCTGCTCCAGCTCAGCGTCTTTCCTCTTCAGCTCAGAGATCTCCTCCTTCAGCTCCTCCTGAAGCTCTTTGGCCCGACTCGCTTCAGTTTCCTGCAGGGATCTGATCTGCTGCTTCACATCAGAGCTTCTTTTCTCGATCACACGGATCAACTCAGTAAAAATCTTCTCATTGTCCTCCACTGCTTTATCAGCGGAGCGATCGATCGTCTCCACCTCCTGCTGAAGCTCCTTCACGTCTTTCTCTCGGTGCTGGATTCTCCGCTGAAGTTTTTGCCGTCTTTTCCTGAGCTCCTTCTGCTTCTCTGTCCTTTCTGCTGCAGCAGAGATCATGTCGTGGCCTCTGTGTTCTTCCATTGAGCAGAGATAACAGATACACTGCTGATCAGTGCGGCAGAAGATCTTCATCACCTCGTCATGATGAGAGCAGATGGTGTCCTGAAGTTTAACAGAAGCCTCGACGAGTTTGTGTTTTTTAAAAGTGGGAGATTCATAGTGAGGCTGAAGGTGCTGCTCACAGTAAGAAGCCAGACAAACCAGACAGGATGTGAGGGCTTTCAGCTTCCTCCCAGTGCAGACATCACAGGCCACATCTCCAGGTCCAGCATAGCAGTGATCAGCTGGAGCATCTTGGGGTCCAGTCTTCTTCAGTTCCTCCACTAACTCTGCCAACAAGGTGTTTTTCACCAGGACAGGCCTCGGTTTGAACGTCTGGCGGCACTGAGGGCAGCTGTGGATTTTCTTATGATCTTCCTCATCCCAGAAGCTTTTAATGCAGCTCATGCAGTAGTTGTGTCCACAGGGAATAGTCACCGGATCCTTCAGCAGATCCAGACAGATCGAACAGCAGAACTTTGCCTGATTTCCTTGCTGCGCCATTTCACCGCTCTGTAACAGGGAATGTCTGACGAGTTTCACTTTCCTCACAGCAAATACAAGAGTCATTCAAGAGGAAAATCTTGATACTGATTTGCAGTGATTTGGCTTGTCAGCTGTTGCACTTTGCAGCATTTTGAATACACCAATCCGTGAATCGGCAGATCTGGGAAAGGGGCGGCAACCTGGAAATTTACAGTGATAATTGGACTCTGTGCTTGAAAAAAAAGGTAGGGGTTAACGGCCTTTGGCATCATTTATTTATACATTTACAGCCAGTTTGAACTTTGGCAGTGTGTTATGCACTCCTTTAAACCTTTAATACTGAGCTTGGTAATATGGCTCCATTAAAGTACATTGTAAAATAATTGTTATCATCTGGGATCTGCTCCATTTAATCCTACATTTTTCCCAGGTATAAAAATATCAAAATCATGTGTCATTAGTAACCATTTGAAATAATCAATCACTCAAATTTACATGGAAAAGTAGGTGAAAAAGTGTGTACTATGGTTGGTCACAATTGTAACCGGAGGGATCATGCGTTGTATCCTGAATCAACTAATTTCTCCAGTGCAGTCACCAAAATTTCTATGTATCCCAGACCAGTTATTAAGACATTTAAAACTGTCGAATGGTAGTCCCCAGCATTGACACTAAAATGCTCAAAATCTCATTGTAGCGTAACTAACTTAAATATCAAAATCCCTTATACAACACTGACCATTCTGAGAGCAAAGACAAAAAAAACAACGTATTTCAGCATTGTAACTTTAGTGCAACATGTATTGCATATATTATATTGTAACTTTATTGTAACATTTGAACTTGTACTTTAGTGCAATATTCATTGTAAACAGTTGTTTGTGTAGAATATGCATTCAACTAGTGGCTGATACTGGAATGCTTGGAAATGTATAAGAACTCAATGGGGCTCTAGGAGCAAACTCATAGTCAATGGCACAAGTCACTATCAAGTGCGGCATCCAAAGGTGTGATGCACTATCACTGCTGCTGTTCTGCATAGGCCTGAACCACCTCAACCAGGTAATCACAAAGGGTAGTTACAGATACCAGTTCCGAAGTGGAACAACCATCAGTCACCTCCTCTACATGGATGACATCAAGCTGTATGCCAGGAATGAGCAAGATACGACTCACTGATCCACACTACCAGGATCTACAGCAATGAATGAATGTCATTCAGACTGGACAGGTGTTGTCAGACGGTATCAAGAAGAGGGAAAATGATAAGAACCGAGGGGGTTGAACTACCAGAAGACAACATTGCAGATGTTCAGGACAGCACAAATACCTTGGGATCCCCCAGGCAAATGGAAACCATGAGGAGGCAACAAGAAAGTCTGCCACAGCCAAATACCTACAGAGAGTCAGGTCCTGAAAAGTCAGCAGAATGGGAAGAACAAGATCCAAGCCATCAACACAGTCATCAGATACCCCGCTGGTATAATAAACTGGCCAAAGGAAGAAATACAGGCCACTGATGTTAAGACAAGGACGCTCCTTACAATGCATGCAGGGTTTCACCCCAAATACCAATAGAGGCCTGGGTCTACCACACCAGGCAGGAACCCAAGTGCAGACTGTGTATGGATGCCCCTGAGAACATAACAGCAGGGTGTAAGATGCAGACAGGAACAGTGTACATGGAACGCCATAATCAGGTAGCTGGCATAGTGTACAGGAACATCTGGCAGGAGTATGGGCTGGTAAGGTGGTTAAGAATGACCGAGCTAAGATCCTGTGGGACTTCAAGAACCAGACTGACAAACTGAGGATGGCTAACCAACCAGACATCGTGTCGAGCGGCAGATGACACATACCATCTCATGAGGGGTGAGAGAGGCATTTAATTTTTTTTTATATCACGGTGCACACCTTGTCTGGGTGGTCACCCAGATCCAACATACCCAGAACACAAAATGAAACTAAAAGAGAAAAACAGATTGGTACAAGAACTGTAAATGTGTATAACTAGATGCATTGTGTTATCCCACCGGTCACTATTGTTGCCGTCATAAAGGTTTACCCATTTTATGACCACACTGAAGAAAGTTGAGTAAATGCATATACTAATACTAGACCCCTTAAAGATGATGTGTACCAAAACTCTCCGTCCTATCTTTATGTTAACATACTTTACTAACCTTTTGTTTGGGAGGTTTGATGCAGCCATCCATTTCTCATGGTGCAACCACGAAGTAAACAGCTGTCGTCATGTGACAGTTTACAATAAACATGTGACACTGCACATATTTCATTTACACCCTTTATTTCAATATTTGCTTGAAATGCATTGATACATCATTCAGAAACATTTTCAGAGCCTTATAAACAAAAAGGTTTTTTAGTGACCGATGGGATTAAATGGGTTTTAAGCCACAACAGCACCAGTAAGGTTCAGCACCGATGTTGCGTTGTCATGTTCTTCCACACCAAACTGTGAAAACCATTTGTTTAAGTTCGATTTGTGCACGGAGGCATTGTCATGTTGAAATAGGGAAAGTGTCTTCCCCAAACTGTTGACACAAAGTTGGAAACACGCAATTTTTAAAATATAGATTTCCTTTTGTTGGAACTAAAGTACCTAAACCATGAAAAACATCCCCAGACCAAATGTTGTCAGTGTTGTCCACATACCTTTGGCCATATAGTAAATAAAACGCTTCTGCTGGGTGGAAACCTTGCATCTCCAGTAAGATGATATTGTCAAAACGTAGTGGTCTTACTAGGTGCATCTCAAAGTCAAGAAAGGATCCTTCAACGGCTGAATTTTACGGATGCTACATCATCGAATCCCACCGAAGGACTGTTCTCATGTCTAGGATCCTTTGAAAGTTACGAAGGGCTGAGTCCTTCGTTCTGAGAAAATTCAAAGGTGCCTTTGTGTATCCTCAGATCGCCCAAAGCGTACCCCAGCACAATGCTGTGCTGTTGTTCTGACGATTTATGCTGCCTTATCGTAAAATGCTATCTAACCCTAACCCTCCTCCTAACCCATGAGCACGCACAGAACTGCTAAGTAGCATATCTCAATGGATAGCACATGACAGAACACTGGTTTCTTTTAAAAATGGTGAACGAGAGCAAAGCAGCAACGTGGCATCACAGATGGGGACTCGAATTAGAGACTCGGACTCAAGTGCAACTTAAGTCGCACACACAGTGACTTAATACTCGAATGGAGACTCGTCCTCAAAAGACTTCAAACTCGACTCGGACTCGAGGTGCGGGACTCAAGAACAATGTTTATTTTTTAAGAAACTTCTGATGAGCTTGCCGTTATTCCCTCCCCCACATGCGTACATAACACGTAGCATCTGCTGCGCGAGACAGCACGTGAGAAAGGACAACAAAAACCCGGCAGCTGCTTCCGTTCGTTATGAAAAGATGAATGAGCGTTTGTCTACTTGCCAAACTTGTGGTAGTCGATTAACGTAATCATTTACATCCCGCCATCACATAAATTATTACCGTTGGCTAGAAAGATTTTACAGGTTTATTGTTGATCATGTAGCCTAACAGTTTTATTTAGTTAACTTTACACTGGGTTTGAGAGTCAACAGGGTTTGTTGACTTACAGTATTTAAGCAGTCAATAATTGCATTGCACATTAAATGGTTGTGCTCTGTAAATGAAAAACAGATTACAGTTACAGTATTCCTTATAGCTCTGCAGTTTTATAAGCAACCTGGATTGAACGCAGCAAGTGATGTATGTAGAATATGTATTTAAATGTCTTTGTCCACTATAACTTATTTGTCCACCAAAATGTGTTCCATCAAAGTGAAGCATTACAGCCTGTAGTCGCTACCTTTCCTTTTTTTTTTAAAGTGACTTACTACATCACAGTTTATTAGTACAAAAGCTAGACGCCACCGGGTCATGAGATACCACAGGCTGCATGTAGCAAACTGCAAGCAAATGTTAGCTAACTTGCTAACCTCTTAATCTAACTTATCCACACCGATAAGTGGTGTGACAACTGCAAACATGATAAACGCTCATGAATTAATTACGGACATCTTTCAATTCATAGACATGGGAGAATAAAGAGTCTTACTTGCGAAATTGTGTGGGGAGCCAACGTTAGCCTATTAGCACACCTGTTAAACCTACTTTAATTTTTTCCTCCCTTCCCACATCATTGGCAAATGTGCAGGCAGTACATCCTCTTTCTCCTGCGAGCAGACTGACGCCAATGCTGCTTTTCTCTTTTGCCCTTCATTTCAAGTTAGAAAGCGAGTTAGTTAAAGAGCACAGCAGTGTTTTCTAAATGCTAGGAAGGAGTTCTGCCTTGTCTCTGTAGGACTCATCCTACCAAGGAAGCATCCTTGACTTTGAGAAGGGGCTACTGTATCTCATCTGAAATGTAAAATCTGAATCTTTAACCGTAACCACTAACTCCAGCCGTCATATAAATGTGGTGAAGTAAGGAGTACATTATATTGTCATCAGATCTGTGGTGGAAGAATAGGAGGAATTACCTCAAAATGGTCTTTGAGTAAATTTACTAGGTTACTCTCAAACTCTGTAATTCACATTTAAAAAGGCTTAAATACTGGTATTACCTTTTGTACCAACAGTGTTTGGGTATGGCTGCACTGCTTTTGATGTAATTGCCAGTTTTTTACCGTTACAGATAACGTTTAAAGATGTTTTTTAAATCCCTTTTTCTAAAGGTCATGTAGAGTCAACACAATATGTCAACATAGCAGGACTGTAACAAGACACACCAGGGTAACATGATGCCTCTGCATCAGTTTTATTTCACAGTAGAATTCATCTTTTCTTGATACAAATCAGGGTATTTCTTTTTCACCGAATGCCTTCACCCTGATCCCAACAAACATACATGTTTCATATCAACACACATCACATTACAGATCATTGTTAGCTTTAAGACATGTCTACAACATGCCCTCAAAAGTTCTTACCTCTCCTTCCACTTCAACCCAGGACTAGTTTTCCTAAAAGTATCTAGCAGAGGAAAAACTCTCAAACAGCTGAGCTTTGACTTAGATTTT